GTTTTGGGAGGTTTCCTATTTTCATTTCAATTTGAGTTTGTACAGCTTTGTTTCCCTCCCAGACCTGTAATAATTACAGGTTGTCCTTTAAATTTCTTTGGATTCCCATCTATCAAGGAGGCCTCCGCTCCTGTGTCAATTAAGGCTTTTACTGTTTGTGAGGACCGGTTTTTCCAAAATACTTGGAGCTCCGCATGGGGCCGTCGGTCCTTCCGTGCCCATTGCACTGGAGCTTGGCCATAATTTCATTCCTGTTTACTACGCTGGACAATTTCCCTAGTGTCCTTCCATGGGTATAAATCAGAATACAGCTCCCAATCCCCCCTTTCCCCCAGAACAACTGATCTGCCTGCGGAAGGCCCACCGTGTGCAGATGGGAAGTCCCGTTGAGGCTCAGGAGGAGGTGCTGTAGGCTGAGTTACCCCCGGATCCTTAGTTTCAGAACTCTGCACTCTCCCGCTAGGCTTAACTGTCCACCCAACCCTTCCAAAATGGGGGTTTGGAGGGGATCAGGGATCAGACCAAATATAATTGGGGGTGGTTGGCAGGAAACACTGTAGCGCCCCGCAAATGGGGGCTTGTGGTTCAAACAACACAAACCCCCCCTCAAATTATTGGGGGGGGGCAGTGTCAGGGGACCCTGTGGCCCCTCCCAAAATGGGGATTCAGGGGTCTCAGGGCCCCCCAGAGTGCTCATCCATGTCAAAGAGCTTCCTCTCCTCTGCCACCGTGGGATCGTTTTTGGAGGACAATGGCCACATTGGACAGGAGCAAGACTTTGGCTACATCGCAAAAGGGACGTGAAAAGAGGGAGGAGAACTGAGAGAGCTCTACAGCTGGTGAATGATGAGAACATCTTGACCTTCATCAGCCAGAAGCCTTGGGAGTAGCGAACAGGAATGCAGAAAAACAAGATAAGGATGCTGAGCTTTGTCTGAAGAAAACATGCCAGGCTACAGTTGATGGGAAACCTCGGGTCATTTCTTAAACAGTGGAAAGATTTCTACCTTGCGCTAAAAGTGTACAGAACGTTGTGTTTGTGCTTGTCAGATTTAATTAACCAATAGGCTTTAGGATACCAGTAACTAACTTGTAGCCAATGAATTGTCTGGTGCATTATGGACAGAGGGCAGTGACCAATCAAACGTTAGTCTCGGGCGTGTGAACAGTGTGTGAGGAATGCATGTAACCAATCCAGCCTTCTGCTGATGTCTGATCAGTTGCTGGCAGACATATAAGCACACTTGTATTGGCAATGAACGATTTTGATTTCTGACTCTTATAGAGTTGTCGGAGTCTGTTATTCTCCTCATGCCAACATGCCTGGGAGGCGGGGGCATGACTGACATCATAGGGCAGGGGAACCACCCCCTCAGGGATGTCATAACCCACCAGTGACATCACAACCCAGGGTTGGGGAATCCCCATCAGAACTAAGTGAGACTCTGATACTGCAATTCCATTGTGGATCCCCACCTCAACCCCATGAGCTCCCCTGTGATGTCATAAGCCCACTTCCACCACACAGGGCTCCACTATGTTGTCACAACACTGGTAGGGAGCCCCAAGAGCTTGCTATGACATCACAATCCTGATGCAGAACACCAAAGGTCCTTTATGATGTCACAGCCCTGGTGGGGAACCCCAAGGGTCCTCTATGATGTCACAATTGTGGTTGGAAACACCAGAGGGTCCTCTGTGACATCACAAACATGGTGGGGAACCCCAAAGGTACAGTATGATATCAGAACTCCGGTGAGCAAACCCACTGAGTTTTCTGTGACATCACAAACGTCAGAGAAAACCCCACCCCACGTGGCTGCCTGATGACATCACAACCCAGCAGGACACCCCCCACCCTACGTGGGTGTTGTGTGATGCCAGCACCCTGGTGGGGACAGCACCACACCCCACGTGGTCCTCTGTGATGTCACAGCCCCACAGGGAACCCCCATCTCAGAGAGTTCCCTGTGATGTCACTGCCCAGGCAGGGACCCCCCCACTCCAGTGATGTCACAAACCAACTGGGAACCACCCCCACCTTGAAGGATTCGCTATGTGAGAAGTAACGGTAGAATATTGCTTTCTCTAACAGTAAAGAAAGAATTACTTTTATTGAGTTAGGCTAAGGCTGTTATTAAATTAGTGTTGCTAAAATTATAACAGTTGAGCAAGCCTTTTTTGATCACAGGTCAGGCATTGGGTTGGGCATTGTGGGGAGTTGGGCAAGCAGGAGGATGGGGGGGGGCGCGGTCTGTGGTTAAGTATCATGTAAAGAGGAATGGAAGCCAGCAGAAAAGGGTTAAGCGAAGAACTCCTGATGAAGAGGAACCTGGACTTCACCGCCTACACCAACCCCCCCCACCCAGAGGACCACCGAGACCAACTGGAAATGCCAAAGAAGAGGTGGGGGGGGTGGGGGTGGGAAGGAAAGCGAGTGGACTTGTTGCTTGGCTCGGTTGTGTTGCATTGTTCTTTGTTTGATTTCATGTTTAAACCGAACAGTTACATATAACACTGTGGATGCCTCCCCCGCTCAGCAGCTGCCTGTTTTGTGATAAGAAGTACTGAAGCAGTGGAAAAGTACAGAGAGAGAGACAGCCTCGGAGGAACCAAGGAAAAGGAACTGCGCGGGTGCAAAAAGGAGGACTGGAACTATAAAAAGAAGCCCCTGCTGGGGCAGGTTGCACCATTGCGCCCAGTGCTGTATTCTTTGCTCCACTGACTCTGTCCCCAATAAAACACATTTTTAAATATACGTGGGCTTGTTTCTCACAACTGGGGGCTCATCTGGGTGTCCTGGGTTGAGTGAGTGGTGGAGTTTTTTGGTGGCAGGGGAGGGGGCTATCGGGGCGGCCCCCTGTGAGAAGCTTCTTGAATCTCCCCCAGCTCCAAGCCAGCTCCACTTCTGTTTGGAAAACTGGTCCAATCAGCTGCGCCTCTGTGAGAACGTATTTAAGAAGGGACGTGGTGACGTGCAGGGGGACTTGTGAGGAAGAGTTGCTGCAGCTGCGTGAACACCAAGGTCAGTGGAGGAACGGAGGAAGAAAGGAGGGGGGAGGTGTCCCAGAGCAGAGACCCCCCTGTATCCTGTGGTGAGACAGCAGGGCAGCCCCCCCTGCCACCCATGGAGATCTATGGTGGAGCAGACATTGATTTGTGGCCTGTTGTTCCTGCTCAGCTGATCAAGGTTCTGTACCCGAAGAAGGCCGGGGTCTCATGGGAAAAGGCAGCCCCGCTGCTGTAATTCAGCGCTGGGAGGATTGCAGCACGCAGGGGAGTCCCACGCCGGAGCAGCTCGGGAAGGGCTGCAGCCGTGGGAGAGAATCCAGTCAGAGAAAGTTAGTGACCCATGACAGAGCAGTGTGGGGAACGCTGCGGCCCATGGGAGGAACTCATGTCAGAGAAAGTTTGTGGAGGACTGTCTCCTGTGAGAGGGGGACCACGATGGAGCAGGAAGAACAAGTTCTGGAAACTCCCCTCATCGAAGATAAGGGAAGTGGCAGCGCTGACTGCACCCCCATTCCCTGCCCCTGCGCCACTGGGGGAGGAGGTAGAGATATCGGGAGCAGAGCTGAGCCCGGGAAGAAGGGAGGGGTGGGGGGAAGGTGTTCTCAAGATGTGGCAATGCTTCTCACTGTCCTACTCTGTTACGTGTTGTTAGTGTCTCTAATAAATGTATGTTCTTTTTTTCTTCCCCTAACGAGTCTGCCTTTTGCTCGTGATCATAAAGGGGAATTTTTCCCCGTCCCAGTCCTATCTTGAACCCCAAACCTGGCTCTCTGTCCCTTCTCATTGCTGGAGGAGAAGGGAGAGAGAGCTGCTGCGTTGTGGTTGGCTGCCAACCTGGCCCAAACCACGACACCGGGATACAGAATTCATCACCCCCAGCCTCTCTCACTGGCCACTTCCAGCACTGGCTGCTCACCCAGGTTTATGGGTGAGCGTTGCTGCTAAACCATCTCCATCCTCCTGCTGGTCTCAGTGCCTGTATGGGGGGACCAGCCAGCCCTGCCCGGCCTCTCTCCTGGTGCAGACCCTGGCAGACTGAAGAGAAGGGCGGTCTGTGAATCCCCACATGGGACACAGCTGGGGTATGGAAAGGGTTGGATAATGGGGGAGTCTGCAAAATGTACGTTATGAGGTTATGTCCTGCCAGGGCTATGGGGGGGACGATCAACTGATTGCTCTCACTGGCAACGTAATGGGGGGAACTTCAGAAACACCTGAATACCAACAAGCCCATGACTCTTTCACTCCCTCTTCAAAAATATAGACTTATACATCCATTTCTAAAACACATTTCCTATTTATATTTTGAATGGAGAAATTGTTTCCAAGACATATTTCTATTAAGACATTTCATGTCTCCATTGCATCTAAACAGAGCTGAGAGCAATGGAGGTTGAAGAGGTTACATAGAGCCCACTAGTGTTTCCTTGCTATCAAGCAAAGAAAGCATTTGTAGCATTTCCCTCATATGTTCCCTGGGTTTGAGCTGGCCAAATCTGTATGGGGTGGACAATGGCACAACATCACAGCCCTCCAAGTGCCAGACCCCAACATATACACAGAGGCCCAGAGCACAGCCAACAAAAGGAAATGTCCTTCCTATCTGATAACCCGATAAACTTCTCCAGTGAATGACTGGCTTGGTAGAGGAGTGGAAATTGTCCACCTGGACTTCAGGAAGGCTTTTGACACTGTCTCCCAAAGAATCCTCATCGATGAGCTGGTGAAGCAGAGGCTGCAGAAGCAGACAGTGAGGTGGTTGAAACCTGGCTGAACGGCCAAGCCCAGAGAATGGTGGTCAGTGGCATCAGGTCTCGATGGAGGCCGGTCACCAGTGGGGCACTACAGGGGTCAATACTGGGTCCAGTCCTGTCCCTCCAAACCTCAACTTTACTGTAATTTGATGGTCCTGTGACATCCTTTCTGGGAAATCAGTGCTGCTGGGCACCTCTCTGAAGTGCCAGTGCACTGATGTGCGGGGCGAGCAGAAGGAGGAATTAGACGTCTGTATGTGGTTCCAGTGGGAGACCGAGCAGTGTCGGTGTGAGACAGTCGGTGTGGGATCAGTTTTGGGCCCCTCATTAAAAGAAAGACATTGAGGTGCTGCAGTGTGACCAAAGAAGCACAATGAAGCTGGTGAAGGGTCTAGAGCACAAGTCTTGTCAGGAGCAGCTGTGAGAACTGGGGTGTTTAGTCGGGAGAAAAGGAGGCTCAGGAGAGTCCTTCTTGGTCTGTACAGCTACATTTCAGGGGGTTGTAGTGAAGTCTGGGTCAGTCTCTTTTCCCATGTAACAAGTGAAAGGACAGGAGGAAATGGCCTCATGTTGCGCCAGGGGAGGTTTAGATTGGATATGAGGAAACATTTCTTCACTGCAAGGGTTGTCAAGCGTTGGAAAAGGCTGCCCAGGAAAGTGGTTGAGTCACCATCCCTGGAGCTATTTAAAAGACATGTAGATGTAGCACAGAGGGATCTGGTTTAGTGGTGAGCCTGACAGTGTTAGTTTAATGGCTGTATTCAATGACTTTAAGGGTGTTTTCCAACCTAAATGATTCTATGATTCTGTGACTGCCAGGGAAGATGGGGAGTGAGGCATGGCCTGTTTAATGTGGCTCACATATATGGAGCTCCTCTATGGGACAGGCAGCAGTTCAGGTTGGTGCTTCTCATAAAATCACAGGATCACAGAATGGTTTGGATTGGAAGGGACCTTTGCAGATCATCTGGTTCCAACCTCCCTGCCTTGATGATTAACTTTTATTCATTTTTTTTTTTCTGATTCTTCAGTGTTTTTAAGAGTAGTCACAGAAAAACACCAAGTACACCAAAAGAGGAGCTGAGTGAGCTGCCAGTAAAAGCCAGTTGAGCTACCCCCATGCCTGTGTGTTCCTGGCAAGGAGTCTGTCCTGAGAAGGGGATCCAGCCTCTGCCACTCTCTGGAGAGGGAAATCAGCAGTGCCCATGCCTCCTGGGGACACAAAAGGAGACTTTTACAAGAGCAGCCTTCATGAGAACTGCTTTGGAAGGGCTACTTGAGGATGGCTTACATTGCAAATACTGATTGAATTGACATTGCCCAGCAGGTCTACAACACAGAGTGCTACATTGCACTAATTTACACCTAATTAATTCACTTTTGTTTGTTTCTTTCTTTGTTTCTTTCAGGTACTGCTACCCTTAGGGAAATCACACTAACATCTGAAGGATCCTTGACAGAAGCCTCACTCTGTTTACATCTTAGGAAATGGGATGCCAGAACTAAAAATTAGATGAGATTTATCTTGAGCAAAAGTTTAGCACATCAGTGATAAAACAGCAAAAGACAGAATAGCTACACTAAAAACAGAACACCTTACCTTGTTTGTTAGGCTGTCCTCCAGAATCCCTGACCGCCTCTGAACCTTTACCAAAAGTTCTTCCCTTTCTTCAGCCTTGATCTTCTCATTGCTCAGAAGTTCTTGTTGACACTTCAATTCCTTCTCAGTTTCGAGAATCTGGAGTGAAAATAGAACACTAAATATACAACTAAGTTCTGAGATGACACGCGAATCTAACTCACCCGCCAGGCCATTCAGTATTTCATAGGAGTCAAAATACCTGGTTAAAAAAAAAGTGCTTTAGTTTGGGTACAAGAAATTTCAAGTTTTGTCTTTGAAAGTTTCTCCTTTCACTAAGCAAAGCCTGCCAACTAGCATGCTGATAAATCCTTTCTAAGGGAAATAATTAGACTAAGCATGCTACAAACACATTTGGACATACTTTCTGCAATCCCTGTTTACACAAATGAGAAACAAAGCAGGGATGTAATTTGAATAGGGTTCACATCAAGAACTGTCTGGAAATTATTACTCAACAAGATTTTATGAGTTGGACTGTTGTCAGAGTGCTGCTAAATGATCTTTGATAATTTATTACAGAACTAGCATTCCTTTCACTGAACATCTGAACTTCCACTGAAGTTAAAGTTTTACAAGACAACTGATACTCAAAACCGGGTGAATCTGAAGATATTGGTAGCAAGAGTAAGAAGATTCTCCTCCCACCACAGCTTCCAATTAACTGCAGACATCTGAAGTGATTACTCACTATCTGCACAACGACTGCTGCTCAATGGATACCACCTGATTCCCTTGTCTCCACTGCTGTGAAAATATGCCTTACCCAGAAGAGAAATAAAGGTGTCAATGTCAGCTTTAGTTTCAAAACTTTGGAGTCAGCTACACAAGATACTATTTTATCAAACTGTTTTAAAAAATGCCTGTTAAGTGTTTTGGTAGTGCAAGCCATTCTCTGGTTCCTCATTTATTCTTAAATAAAGCAGTCTCCAACAACATTTTGGAAAGAATTTACACACATCTTTAAATACCACTGCAGAAGACAGAAGGTAAAGCACGATAACATTCTTCAGTCTGGGTATGTAACATTCATACTTGTCAGATATTTTTCAAGACAGCTCCAACAATTAACCATCATCTTCTACCAACCATTTATAGTTTTTGTATTCTGATAAAAGATAAAGCACCTTATCAACACTCTCCTGCAGGTTCATCTCCAGTTTGCTCTTCTCTGAATACCTTCCAGCATCTCCTGGAGCTGATCTCTCTCCTGTGCTAACAAGTCGCACTGCTCCTCCCACTGTTGAAGTTTACTGCTTTCACTCTCAGTTTTTTCTTTCAGTTCTCCCAGCAGCTGGTGCCTTTCCTTAGTTACCAAATTTAAGTCCTCATTCAACTTGACTACCTATTAAAAACATAGTTTTTAAAAGTATAAAACCTACATTTTATAAAATACAGAATTCTATATTAAATAATATAAAATAGTATAAGCATAACTATTAGCAAAAACTCTTCTGTTGCTAAATTGTATTACCATGACATCATCTATTCGTCCAATAAAACAGCCAAAATCATCCTGGGTAAATGCCTGTTACTCTAATAAACCCTTGAGGGGACTTCCTCTAAATTATTTTTAAGAGTTTTTTACTATACTTGCCTTTTCTTTTGTTTGTTTATTTCTTCATTTAGTTTTTCTTCAGTGTTTTGCCATTTCTCTTCTCCATCTGTTAACATGTTCTTCTGGATATCAGCTTGCTCTTTCTGATGCCTTAGTTCTTCCTGTAGGTTTTCCATTTCTGTCAGAACTTTTAAGGACTACAAAACAAGGTATTACATGGATGTTCGCTCAGTATGACCAAGTTTTGCTTATCAGCAGTTAAGAATGATAAGGCAGAGCATTTGAATTTCTGGAGAGAACTATCAGAATAATCAGTCTTTTACTTTAGGAAAAAAAACTAGTTGTCATTCTCCCATGCCTAGTTTAAGAACTCCAAAGGAAGACAATCTTTAGGAATAGTCTATCCTTAAAAAAAAAAAAAAAAAAAGGAGAAGAAAAAAAAAAAGAAATAAAGAGGAAACAGAAAAGTGTTGTGGGGGGAACAGATTATGTATGTGACTATTTAAAAAACAACAAACCCAAAACAAAAACCACACCACCACACCATGAAAGACACCCTTATTCTTGTGACAGCTGCAACCAGTTACATGAACAATGTGTCCAATTGTTTAGTAACAAGATGTCAACCTAAAACTAAACGTTTGATAATCCCAATTGGCTGGTTTTTAAATTATTTGGTCTATACATACCTAAGAGTGGTTCTACCTGAGGTTTGCCAAAATTTATACAGAAGCTTTTACGTTTCTTAAAATAGTTTGCAGAGCTTCTCTTAGGAAAAAACAACAACAAAAAAAAAAAAAAAACAACAACACACTATTAACCAGATTTCCTTTCAATTTTAGAAGTTATCAGCTTAATTTTTATTAACTGTATATCAGAACAAATTTGTCTGAAATAGCGTGTCAACATAAGCATATTTTCATAAAAATACTTTGAATACTGAAATCACTAATCTGCCAGGAAGTCGGGCACCAGGAAGGAGAACTAGGATAGCTAATCAGTTTCTTTTCTGGGTTTAGCTTTCTCTTCGTCAATCCAGATGGAGCTGAAGTGGCAGGAGAATTAAGCCCTTAGATATGAGTAAACCTGGATTACCTCTGCTGTTCAGCACTAAATGCAAAGGGACTGCACGTGAAAGATGTAACAGGCATTTGTGGAAGGTTTGTCCAGCAGGTGACAGAGAACTATGCCTAAACCCAGAGCAGCACAGGGACCAAAAGGGCAGGAAGAGGATAGGGGGGAATTAAAAAAAAAAAAAAAAAAAAAAAAAAGAGATGGATTCCAAAATCCGAATTGGATTAGTAAACAAATTTTTAGTTTACTGTTGCTATGAACAAGTGAAGGGAGAGGAAGAGATAGTGGAAGCGGAACTTCGTGGCCAAAATTCAGAGTGGTACAACCTAATCACAAATTAAATACACATTAAGTAATTGTTGTAAAGAGATTTCATACATACTCTCTCCTTGCTTTCCAGACAGTCAGCCTCTAACTGATCTCTTTCTGCTTTACAAGTCTCTACCATTTGCTGTAGCTCATCTTTCTCCTCATTAAGTAAAGCTATTTTGTCAAGTTGCTGACAGATGTGGTCATTCATTGTTTTTTCAATTTCTTCTTTTTCTGACAGTAGCTTGTCATATTCAGAAGAGACATGAGTCAGGTTTTCAGTGACTTCAGTGAGCTGAAAGAACAAATAAGAACCAACATTAACATTTCTAATAATCTCTAGCATGGATAGAAGTAATTTGATAGTTTGGGGAAAAAAAAACAGTAACAGTCTAATTTATTAAATTCTGTATTTCCAGTAATCAGGTTCCAATTTAAGAAGTGTTATGGGATCATATTTCACAAGCACTATCTGTACCTATGGGTTATAAGTGGATTATTCTACAGAAGACACCTCCATTAGTTTACTGCTACAGTAAAAGAAAGGTATGACAATTTTGCTTAAAAGTCAATCCAATTTCAGTGCATCTGTCTCACTGGTAGACAAAACTGAGTGTGAAAAGCCTATAGGCCATTATAATTCCATAAAAATGACTCCATTGCTGTAACCACAGCAGACAGGCTTCATTCTAACAAGTGTTAATATCTTCTAAATAGCTTCAAGACATGAAAATAATAAGTAGGCAAGAAATTTATAACAGTGCAGCAAGTTAAATAGGCTAAACTGTCATTTAGATGCTCAAGTGTCTTCAAAGTTACACAGCTAAAAGACATTATTAGAATTTTAAAAGGCTTAAGATTTGGGAAATGCACTGAGGTCAAAGAGCAGTACTCCAAATAATATTCCATCGTTCAGTACTAAGGCATGTTTAGTAACCAGTAAGTGAGGGCTGCAGCTTGCAGGTCAAATTGCATTTGACCACCTTTTCACTGCCTCTGTTTCTACAATTATTTTCTGAAGCAGTACAGGAAAAAAAAAAAAAAAAAGGGGAAAAAAAACTTTTAATGAAGTTTCGTTATTCCATTTACCGAACTCTTACAGACTGAGGTCTGCAGAAGACACAGGCTGCCAATCCTGATGGAATTTTTAGTGTACTTGACAAAACTGCATCTGACCTTCTGCTGCAGTTCGTCAGTTGTTTCCTTCGAATGCCTCTTGCGCTTCTAAGAGTTGATATTCTTTCTCTGAAATACTTTCTTTCAGCTCCACAATAGTCTCCTGATGTTGTCTGAGAGAGCAATGAGCACATTTCAACTCCTCCTGCATCTCGGAATTCTTTGGACACAACACAGTTCGAGTACATTAAAGTCTGAACAACACTTCCAAAATTGCAGACAGACATTTACCAAAGCTATTCTCTTAAAGGAACAGGACTACTTTTCTTACCTTGCTAATTGTCTCCTGTATGGTTTCTCTTAACTGCTCTCTCTCATTTTGGAGGTTCTCTAGTTGTATTGTAAGATTACCATCTCCACTTTCTGTCAGAGTGCTTGCTTCCCAACATTCAGGCAATTTTGGAATAAAATTGCTTCTCTCCAGTTTTTCAGATTCTCTTTGACATTCATTGGTCTTTACTGCCTCCATTTCATGCCATTTCCTTTTTGCCTGGCTCAGCTCTTCTCTCAGAAGAAATAGTTCTTGCTCAGTAGATTCTTCTTGAATCTGAGGGATCTATTTTATTCAGAGATAGAAGTCAACACATTTGGGGAAGTAGCTTTAAGAGAAAGATACCTGACCTTCAGCAGGTTGACTATATAAAACGAACAGAAGCAGTGTTTTAAAGAAGCAATGTTTTAGAGATATTGATATTTTTTCCAGAATAATAAGATTCAACTGAACTAATTTCAAGAAACTTGACCTGCATATTAAGAGACGTGTAAAGGTAAAATCTGAAGTGAGAACTTCTGAAACAACTTACTAGAAGTAGAATTTCATGGCCATAGCTTAAGTCTGAGGGGGGGAAAGAAAACCCACAGCCCAAACTAAACAAAGACACCCACAACAAAAAAACCCACACCACAAATCAAACTACAGAGGCCTTATCCATATTTCTAAGCTCAATAGTAGATAATAATGGTGTCAAGACAGTTATTGCCTTGAAACTTGCCCACTCCCCCCGTAAATATTAAAATACGGACACGTACTTCACTTTTTCTGAAGTGTGTACATACACACACACGCTTTGCACATATACATGTAACACACAAATCCACATGTCAAATTACAGAAAACTTTGGCCGCAATGTCCCTTTCGCTGCAAGGACAAAAAGTCAGTTCTACCTGTGCTTTGAAAAAGCAGACCCACGTGGTCCAGACGCGCCATTTTTAGCTTTAACTACTTAAAGAACCACATCTCTGTACAGATCAACTCAGAACATCACTATCTTGTATCAAATTAAAATTCTATTTACAGAAAAACAGTTCTCATGTTCTACTACTATTTGTCCATGCACAACAATATGGGTAGAATCTATTTCAAGTAAACAACAATAATCCTGGTGTTAATCATCTGCAGACATGTAGCAGGACCCTTTTCTCCAGCTTGTTTTGCAACCTACTGCCACTCAAGTTGAAGTTTAAAGCAGCATGCTTTCCCTTATAGCCTCAGCATAATCACCAAAGTTCCTTCCCCATGCTCTTCTTTTTCCAAATGTAAACTGTTCAGCTTGTCCTGCCATGACTTGTTCTCTTGCCTAAGGAAAAAGATTTGTTCCTTTTGCACCTGAAGCTGATCACTTTCTCTACAGTTATTTTCTGACTTTTCCTCAGCGAGCTGGTCTCTCTCCTGATGTGATGATTTTTATTTCTTCTGTCATTTGCGATATCTACAAAAAATGTGTAAAGACAGTATTTACATCAACTCAAAACCAACATGCAACGCAAAAATTTTGATTCATTCTGCTACAGCATTTTTAACATCAAGCCACTGTATCTAAACTAGAAAAACTCCAGAACTGAGTCTTTAGCCTTTGTCACCTGTTTTGTTTCAAATGCTAACCTTTTACTAGTCTCTTCAGCAGTATTGACCAGATTTTTGTCTATAAAAAGTCTGAGAAGACAAATAAGAAACACCTGTTGGATTACTTTTATGCATCTGTTCCAAAACACGCAAATGCTGAACTGACAACCATTGACTTACTGGGTCTAGCAGCTGATACACTTCAAGAAAAATCAAATCTCACATGCTACAGATTCTCCCCACAGAGAAATTGTGTCCCTGAAGCAACTATGTAACACGCAATATTCTCAGCACCTTTCTTTGTCAGCTGTTGAACCAACAGGCACAGAAGCCAGTGGATCAGCCTTCTGCTCTATGCTGGGAACCGAGCTGCCATTTACAACCGCACGTTACACTTCTCATTGGGACTGAGTGTTATAAACCATTAACCTCATTCCTACCCCTAAGTAAACCTCATCTCTTCTTTCATTTGCCAGCTAAGGCCACCACTCAAACTGACAAGCATGGGGCACACTAGTTAAACAAAGGTTTATTAGTGTACATTCCAGCTTGAAGCTCTACAGAAATACATCAGCACCTGGTAAAGACTTGCATCAGGCAGTACTACTTTCTCGTCCACTTTATATCAAAGGACTAGACATTTTTGAAGGACAAGCAGAAGATTATAAGCAGACTAACTAGGCTTGCTTTTTCAGTGTTGGAAAACAACTTAAAAACATTTTTACTTTGGATTATTATGTAACAATTTACCTGCATTTCAAGTTCTTTAATGGTTTTCCCTAGTTTCCTTCAACACTCAGAATCGGAGATGCTTTTTCAGAAATATTTTTTTCCAGCTTCTTGACAGTGTCCTGGGATTGCTTGAGAGAACTCTGTGTATTTCTCATTTCTTCCTGTGTCAAAATGTTCTTGAATAGAAGAAAGAAAACCCACAAAAGAAAAGTCAAGTATTTTGCAACATTAGTAAGCACTCCTTGATTAAAAAAAAACAACACACAAACCCCCACTCCCCTACTCCCATATGTATTTCAGTATAGTTTATACGCGTTCTTACACTCTTCCCCTTAACACGTATGGTCCATTTCTAGAAAGGCAGAATTCCTACCATTGAAACAGTGTCCTTTGTATCCTCTTTGAGTTGGTCTGCCTCAGCTTGGAGAGACTCCTCTTTTTGCCTCAAGCAATCTCTTTCCTGGCTTAGAGTTTTTAGTTCTTCCCGACACTCAGTAAGCTGCTGAAGAACTGCCTGGATCTCTGAATCCTTGGCCTCCAGTCTCAACTCCATAACCTTTTCTTGCTCTTTTAGTTGCTCCATTTCATTTAACTTCTCCTGAGTCCGAATAAAATCTTCTCTTATCTCAAGAAGCTGTTCATACTCTGCTGTCTTTCCTTCCAGTTCTTTCATTTTGCTAGAGAGCTTTACTTTATAAAGGAAAAGGCCAGACACTTTAATTGCAATGCAAAACGCCATAATGCGTACATGTTCTCACAGAATCTTATGGGAGCTCAGGAAGGGTGAGAGATGCCAGTTTTCAGCAAGAAGAGGAAGTTCATCATTTCACTAATTGACTGCTAATATTCTTGCCCACATTAAATAAGGATTTGTTTAGGGAACCTTCCTGGGGTTTCTCTTTAACAGCAAAAATCTTATCAAAACATAACACCACACATGAAACTGTAGCTTAGTTTAGGAATTATAAAATTAGGAGTCACCAAATCCATAGCTGGAACATGGCAGCCATCAATGCCAAAAGCACTGAAGAAAATATGCATCTTTAGTTCCCTTTTCTTATTTTTTTTTTTTTTTGTTTTCTTTCTGATTGCCAATTGATGTGGGGATTCTCTTTGGTTTGAAAGATCTATTCTAAGCAGACTCCAGCTCCCAATGAGGAATCTTTGTTTAAATGACTTTAGATAGACTAGGTAGATGTAACTTAACAATGGGAAAAGAATTAAAAGGTCAAGTACAGGAGAGCACGTAACCTGGAACAACACACACATTTCTTTGCCTATGAAGAGACTGCTGAGCTGCATAATTCTGCAACCTTATACACCTGGCATGGAATAAGTAATATCCACTCATACTAGAGGAATTTCAATGACAGTACTATTTATATCTTTAAGACTACTTCTCAAAAAAAATTTTTTTTTTTTAATGCTACAAGTGAATTCCTCGTGTCCGATATGTAAGAAGGAACAAGCTGACACTGACCTCTAATTTCACTTCCTCCAAACTTGTTTGAGTCTTGTGCTTCTTTTGATAGAGCATTTATTTGGGGCTTCATTTGTTCATTGTTTTCTGATGCAGCTACATATTTTTGCTCTAGTTCTTCATGGAGCTGTTTAAGTGCTACACATTCCTGATCAGACTTTATGTACTTAAGCTCTGCATCTGCTAGATTGTCTTTTGATTTTTCAATTTCTTCAGTCATATGTTTAAGTCTTATTTCATTAGCAGCTACTTCAGAAAGCAGCTTTTCTCTTTCCAATTTTAATAAGTGTAGCTCCTCACATTTTCCAAGAATCTGCCAACAGAAAAACAGTATTAATAGCATTTTCCTAAATCAGTATTTGTCATAGCTGCATAATAAAAAACATGTTCAGATGCAGATATAGGAAATAAAGTGTAGGCAAGCACACAGCACAGTGCACTGGGTTTTGCTTTGTTGGGAGGGAGCTGTCTAGCAAATAATCCTTCAAAGGGAAGACAGACGGAAAAGGCCCTTCTAAAACTTTGAAACCTCTCCTCTAACTCCTCAGATATTCTTAAAAATAGGAAAAGCGAAATATCTAAAGTTGACTGGACTGATACTCCTAGCTAAGACTTCTAAACTGAGTGTTTAGATGTGTTAATACTTTCTTCATGATAGAGACTTTACAGAGTTGTTAACATCTAATTAAAGTTTGATTAATGGAAGTAGACCACCAAAAGGGTTTGGAACTTTTTGTAAAGCACTCTCCCGCTCGTGAGATTACTTGCCCTGGAGAATTTTCACTGCACACACTTAGTAGAAGGTATTTAAGGATAAAGAAACCTAGAAAGTGTTTGCAAACAAATGCTTTAAGACACTTCTATAGCAAACTTCGTCTACTAAGCCCTGGTCTGCCAGGAAACAGAAAACTTTATCTGACCAATTTTCCAGGATTTGCAAGTTAAATCTCTCACTTCAAGTAGCATTTCTGCTAAGACATCTTGAAAATTTCTCTTTGCCCAATTAGACAAAGATTCAGTTTTAGAACAGTAAATCAGGATCAAACACTTTTATACATATGCACACAGTTATCAATGGTGACCAAGACAAACAAGCAGGCAAACGTTCAGCTAGAAATTCCTGATTAATTATAATAGATTTTGTGACTAAACATGTGATCTTAGATTTATTCCTAGGTGCAAATATTATTGTTCCTCAGTTACTTAATCAAATTAGTTGTAAAGATCTCAGGTTATTTGATCCAAGACAACTTTTGGCTTTAAAACTTCATGTTCAGTAGGCCTCCGTTAATATGTTACCAGCCAAGAACAATATAAAAACAAAGAAAAAGTTAATTTTTTTTTTTTGTTTACCTCTTTCTGCTGTATCTCAACAGTATTTGGTAGAGACTGAAATGCTGAGAGCTCCTTTACTTGTTTTTGCAGAAGTGTATTCTCTTTCAGTGCTTCGTCTAGTTCCCCTTTTAAGTCAGCTGCCTTTCTTTCCAGCTCCGTAAGAGAGAGCAGATCTAGAGAATTAACAAGTTTAGATTAATATGAGTGTGAGAGAAGAAAAGCATGTTTTAAATTAAGCTGAAAATTTATCATGCATTCTAGATGTCATATCAGTATCATTCTAGAAACGTATATTTGACAGTGGCCAACAACTAAATATGAAACCTCTAGTCTGAATTCAGCCATCACTTGTTAGGTTGACATCCAGTTTATTTTAGATTCTCCCCGACAGCCTTTGTTAACTTGACTGTCTTTGTGCAAAATTCAAAGCATACCTTAAGTTGCACTTTTCCAAAGAGTTCAAGGAAGTGCTAAAGCAATTACTATGTGCCTGCAGTACCAGATACTCTAATATTTTTATACTGACAGAAGCTCCCAGTATTTGAGAAAACAGGAGCCAAGGTCTCCCTGTTCCCTAATCATTATGGGGAAAAGGAAGGAAAGGGGCAGGGGGAAAAAAGGCAAACTTGAAACAGTACCTTTTGGAACTTCACCCTCCATCAGTGAAGTTAGCCTTGTGTTTTCTTGAAATACAGACTGCAACTCTTTCTGCAAGTCAGCTTGCACTTTTTTGTAACTGGCTTTTCCTGTTTCTACTTGGCTTTGATAGAATTGAACATCCTTTTGCATTTGCTTGTACTTATTTAAGAGTTCATTTTTCAGGAAAACAAACCAACATGCAATTCACACACAAAATAAAAGTCTACTTGCTTAACATTTAAATAGTGCATCTGTCACTCTGAACAACTTTGGTCTTAACAAATATGGCAGAATAAGCCACAATTTAACAATTGCATTCCTGGCAGTCCTATAACAAAACAAACCTTACCCAAAAGGCTCAGGGCCATAACTGCCTCTATTTTTTTGTCTTTACTCCTTCAAAGCCCAAAGTAAGCTCCATCCCATTTCTGAGTTCACAGCTCTTATTTCCTTTTGTTCTTTAGCAAAATTAGGTTTGGAGTCTTATGTCCTAGTATGCGTGTCCTGGTCTTATATCCTAGTAACTCCCTAAAGTTAATTTGCTCTCTCTCTCTACTGGCAGACTTAAAACTAACCACCCGCTCCTGTGGAATAAGCCTCTTATTTTCTTTTTATCTTTCTCCTGAAGACCCCTTTTCCATCAATTCCATAATAAAAACGCTACTTGGAGCATGAGTCATTAGCTTTCTCCAAATATTCTACCACATCTGGTGTTTAACAATTGTCTCCTTCACTAGTCTGCAAGCAGATGGGCCTTTAATGGCATTTTATACAGCTATAAACGCAGTTTAACAAGTACTTACCATCTTCTTCAGCTCCAAATTTTCAGCTCTGAGAAAAGCAGATTCCTTTTTGGCATCCAAGACTAGGGTTTCACTGTCTAAGAGGGATTTCTTCAGCTGCTGAATTTCTTCAATTAGCTTATCAGAATCAACCTGAAAAAGACAAAGAAATAATAATTTAAAAAAACAAATATATAGTAATAATAAAGCAAGTGTGTTCATTATAATGTGGTTAAAACATAAATAAAGGCTCAGAAAACTTGGTGAGGTTGCACTAAAAGGAACAGTAGTAGTCTCGCTTGAGAGATGGGATGAAAGGCAGCATTTCCTATAGGTTAACTTCACTGGAGTATTGCTGTATAACTACCATTTTAAGCTTTGTAAAAAAAATTTCCTAACATCTGTGGGGAAGATGATTTAAATTCCACCAAGTCATACCTAAATTTAACCCATTTACAACAAAAACCCAAGCCATCTCTCAACTCAGCAGAAAGCTCAAAGTTACCACTGAAGGTGTGTCCTTTTTTTCCGCTCCCACTTTCTGCAATTCTTCCACATGATTCTGTAATAGCTTTATTTTGTTCTCTTTCTCTTTCAGCTGTTCCAGTTTGGAGTTCATTTCTGCCTAAAAGTTAGAGAGACAAAAAGGGGGTGAGGAAGGTTCTAGTGCCCAGTTTGGTTTTCATGCAAGATTTTAACAAAAACCTGCTTTGTATATAGTAAGCGATCATGGGGTTTAGACATATGCTCCTTATAGCTCGTAAGACTAACCTTAGCCCAGTGATGTCTAGGTTGTCCTCAGCAGATACAGTATTTCAAGATAAACAAACCAAGCACATTTCATACAGTCTTCCTGAATGTAAACTCCTGGACAGGCTCACCTCAAGTTCCTCATTGTACACTTCAGCATTTGAAACTAGACTCTTTAAGTTGGTAATTTCACCCATTAGTTGCTTCAGTTTGCTCCACAGATACAAAATTGCAGAGTATGTTAGAAAGCACCTACACCAGTAGTTTTAGTTGCCAACACCATGCAACTAAGGTCTATGTTGTGATTTCTTTCTATTAGTGGGCAAATCATATATGCACACGCATATCTAAACAGCTAAAGCAAGTTGCTACATATTCTTTCAAATGGATAGATGAGAGGCAAAGCTTTGTTTTAGCTTCCCAGTGATTAGAAAGGATTCAAGTACAATTTAACGTGCAACAGCTCGAGAAGCAAGAGTAACGTGATCAAACCAATTAATACAGGAATTGTACAGATATGAAACTACAAATCCTAGTCATTTCAAGCAGCTTTTTATGACACAGAGCAGATATTTGATTTAATCTATTCACAAGAATAAGAAGGTGCCAAAATTGAGGTAAAGCAAGCCATGAAGACATTCAGTGGCATCCGCTGGGAAGGAGGCACAAGTAGAAGACTAGATAGAAAAGCACTTGTAAAACTGAAGAACTCTCTTCTTTTGGTCTTTATTAGAAAAGCTTTACAGTAAGTACTCATTTACAGGTACATCTGTAGAGTCACAATTGTAAGTAAGGAGAAAATCCAAACTTTAAGATCAGTGAAAAGCTTTAAAACAAACATTCTCCTGTGAGTAATTCTATATGGTTAGGAGTATAGTGAGAAGAAAACCCAACCTATAATCTTAAAATCAGAGGATGGTTGTAGAAGATATGGTACAATACTACTTTCAGAAGTCATGTAATGTCATTATTCAGAATCATAAATTTTAGCTGTATTTGTCTGTGGTGATTAAAATGAATGTATTTAGTGAAGTGTGTGACCTTTCGGTATTGCTGTAATTAATGTGCCACATGGATACCAACAAATGCTTACATTTTATGGACTGACTTTAGGTAACATATCTGAAAACACGAACCATTTGAAAAAGCAATTCTTGTAATAGAAGCTACTTTAGAACATTGCATCTGTTATTAGATACACAAAAGCTTTGCAGGGAAAACTGTAACTGAGGGTTTGTTAAATGTTGGCTGATAAGGAAGACAGCACAATTGGTCTAGCATCAAAAGGGTCTTCTAGAAAGAATCTTAACTACAAGCTGAATCGTAATCCACTATGGATCCATTTTGTTTAAGATCCATAAGTCTTTGTAGAGAACACAAGGGACATGAGAGGTGATCTTGTTAAATTGTAACCCGAAACAACAATGCAAAAGGCTGTAACTTCAGCTTCAAGCCTAATTTCATGGTCAGAGGATATTAAACAGACTAGTGTGTACAAGTAATCCATACAAAAGGGATCAGGAAAGAAATAGAATACTACATCCATATCTTAATACCTCAGGTTGTTGGGTTTGGTTGGTTGGTTTTTTGCACTGTGACTTATTTCACAGTCTAGCCCCTACACAGCTAGAACCCAATACAAGTAATATGCATTTCAGGTTACAGAATCAGAGCACAAAACATTTGGACAAACAAGGTACATCTCCACTAATAGCACAAGGAAGTGAAGTGAACTGAAATTTACCATTTCCTATATCATAAGTTATCCCATATGTAGGTTTACCTTTTCTGACTTCCTGGCACAAAATACAATGTTTCAATTTTCCACACACATTACTACTCACTATTGTTTTTAAATATTTTATTACAAAGTTAAATAATACACTGTAAGTTAATGCTGTCATAGCTCAATGGATTACCAAAAGCCAGAGCTATCTTGGGTTGCAAGCCAAGGCATTTTGTACAACAAATACTTGAAATATGGTTTAGCAATTAAACTTTAACTTCAAAACAGTTCTAAAATGTATTTATGCAGCAAAACAACTGACTCTTACAGCAACCTAGAGTGAAATTCAGATAGTGCATAAAACCAATACCCGGGTACATATATACACAAATATACGTTTAACCAGACTTCTATGCTACTCTCCAAAAATTTAAGTCTGAATTTTACACTCTGAGTAAATCCAGTTTAAATTCTGGGTTCATTCATTCTGTTATTGAATGTTGCCTGTAACACCATCTGTTTTTGAATCAACACAAAAGTGTACATACATTGAATAAACTCTAGAAAAACATTTGACCATAGAGATTTCTTATCTCTCTGCATTTATTTCAATGTACCTTACCTCATGATCTTTTTGTGTTTGTTTTTCCAGCGCTTCAAATTCATCCATTTCTATTTTTTCCTTCAATTTCTCCTTTATTTCATTTATTTCAAATTTCAGCTGCTCATTTTCCAACGCTAGGCTATTTAAGTTAGCTTGCAGGACGTTGACCTCACTTACAGCCATATCCTGGAGAAGCAGCCCAAGAAACTTTAGAAGATGATGTTGCAATGTCAGTCCTATTTCCAGAAAATACACAGACTTACCTTTTCTGGTGCTAATGCTTCACAGAGTTGCACAGATTCTTCAAAGTCTCTCTGACTCTAGAAAAAGAGTTGCTTTCACTTAACTGATCTACAAGATCAAGCAAGTTTATTACATTCTTTGTTGCTTGTCTTTTCATGGCTAGTCCTGTTTAAATACCAAATCTTACTAGATCATTCATCACAAAACCACAGAATCGTAGAACTATCCTACAACTTCAGAGATTACCAAGAGACTTTCTAACCAGTTACAGTAATTCTTCAGATATATAGGAGAATATTGTTGTTCTACAGAAGAGTAAGGCTGATCTTACTGGGAAGCATGTAAGGTGTATGCACTGTATTAGACAACCCAAATAGATTATGATGTTACCCAATTCACGTTCGGTCCAGCAGTCCATTCTACATCCGAAATTTGGTCAGGAACCAGCAGATATTGGTTTTCATATTCAGAACTCTCTAACATAGCTGAAAAATAATGTATTCAAAAAATTACACAGTAGCAGTAGATTTTAAACTGGACATCAAGAATTATTTTCCTAAAGAGTTTTATCACCTTGGAAACAATCATTCAATGGCAAAGATATAGCACATCAAGCAGGACTTCTGAATATCATTATTTCCTCTTACAAATGGAACAACACTGAAGTCCAGTCCCTACAGTTATGCTGACCACCTTATCACAAGTTAATACTAACCTAGTCTGTAATTAAGTATATATTCTGGATTTGGAAAAGTGTTTAAGTGTCAAGGAAAGAACCACTCAACAGTATCCTGCAAGATTTTAAAAAAGCACCACTACCACCACCCCCCCATACAGAAAAGCCCCTGACAGTCCACACACAAGCAAAAAAGCTTGACAGAAGGATAGGTAATAAGGCTGTAAGAAAATGCAACAATATCGTGCAATTATTCTCTTGTCTTCAGTTCAGCTTTCTCTGTCCCTTGCTCCTCTAGTGAATTTCTCTGTATCTGAGTATCTCAATCTGATCTTTGAATAATAACTTCTCTGTTCTTGTTGAGGATTTTGGAATTTCACACACACCACCTTATTTCCACCACCACCCACCCCTGCCCCCTTTTTTAGGGGATAACATAGTTAGGATGGATAATCTGTGTCAAATAACTTTGGCTACTTTTACAGAAAAAGGGGGGGTTGGGGTAGGCTGCACAGAAGTATTCATAGACCCTGCTTTTTACTTCACAGCTCTTACCTTTGGTTTTAACAAATTAAAAGCTCAATATCCAGAAGAGGGGACTGAAAAAAAGTAATTTCTTTGGAAAGTGTGTACAGGGACATTTGTTTCTGTTTTTGTGGGTTTGTTTGGGGTTTTTTTGTGAGGTTTTTGTTTTCATGGGTTTTTTTTGTTTTGTTTTGTTTTTGTATTTTTCATTGTTGTTGGTTTTTTGTTTGGGGTTTTTCTGTTGTGTTGTTTTGTTTTGTTTTTTATTTATTTTATTTCTACTATCAGAGAGACAACTTATACTTAGTGTCCCAAAGGGTAATGCTTGCGAAGTTATCCAACAAAAACTACCAGTATTACAGTGCTAAAACCACTTCTCTTTCAGGCAGCATTCTTTACTGGCAGCCATATTTAATTACCTTATGAGCTACAGGTAACTTTCAAAAATGGGTTCATGGAACGTAATTTGAGTAGTATCGTGCCAACTAAATGTAGGTTTTATATTGTCAGCAAATCAATTTGCTTATTAACTTAGATTTAATAAAAAGGGATTATTTCTCATTCCAGAGCTGCTTTGCAGAGTTTCCTTCATTTTTCCTGAAGAAACTTACAATCCTCCACATCTTGTAGTGCCGACAGTTTCATTTTTTTTGTTTCTGTCACCCTTGTTTTTTCAAAGTCTTCAAAATAGCTCACATTCGCCTGGTTTATTTTACCAGGAGCCCAAGTAACTCTTCTTCTTCTCTTGGCCTTTAAAAAAAGAGTGATAGAACCAAATCCCTAAGTAGAGAGTAGATGTTGCGTTAGGCTAGTTCTATAATGTACGAGCAGCTGAGTAGACAGTGATTTACAGTTTCTTCAGAATTAAACAACAGCATAACAGTTTGAATGCAGAAGTCTCTGAGGTCTGTTCACTGCAAGGCAACATCGAAATGATACTCACTCAGAAGTTATTTTAAAAGTTACCCCTTTAAAAATAAGAAAAATTATGTGAAACTTGCCTAACAAACTTATTCTTCATTGTCAATATAACCCCACGCATTTAATATTACCTTTTGCAAAGTATTTCAGAGTTAACAAGTAAGATCTAGAACAGGTACGTACTTCAGCATTCTGTTTTGAAGAAAAGGAGGCAGAAGTCACCAGCATCTCAGTTAAGTTTCATATCTTATCTTCCTGTACTTTTTGAAGAGAATTTTTTTCTTCCAACAGCTGGGCCAATTGGTCTTTTTCCATTGCGTGAATTTGAGTCTTTGAAGACACCTTCCATAAAAAGAATATTAATCAAACTGACATTTTAAGAGCACAAACTACTCCTAAAGATACACAATTTCTAATAGTTAAGAAAAAAAACTACATATACATATTCTTTAAGGTCTGGAAGAGCCATCTTGAAATTCTCAGTTTCATTGTTAAATATACAATTTGCCTGTAGACTTAGTATTTAAAGGGGTCAAAACTCCCAGACACAATATGCCTCAGATTTTTCTAGTGACCAAAAAAAAAAAAAAAGCATTCTTTCAAGTGTAACACAGTTTAACATGACCTTCCATGGTGCCAGAAGCCTGAAGCTCTTTGAGAACAATTCAATTGTCAAATAAGACAAAGTTACTCTAATGCATGTGGTCTCTTAAGATTTGGAGTACTGAAAATTTATTCTGTTGTAAAGCAACTGCATTACAGTAGCTATTTTTTTTGATAACTTTATCATAAGCTTACAATACTTTAGAGTAATTTGAAGTTCACACGGGATTTCCAACAAACTATTCTGTACTCAAATACTTTCCTTACTACCTACTATCTCAGAAGACAGCAAACACAATTCTAGGTGCAAGTTTATACTGCAAAATAGTTCTCTTAAACAGGTCAACCATTTTTCCTCAAACTTTTCCTATGACTTATTTGTAAAAAAAGTCTATTTTGATGTTTTAATTCACCAAAAGGAGTATGTTCAGAATTGTCTTTTCCCTGTGTTTTATCTTTTATGATCTATGCTCTAACAAGATTTGCAGAATTGCTCCTCAACTCCACAGATTTTTGGAAATAGGCGAACACATGACACTGTGCTGTTTGTTGGGAAGTTACTACTGTTCATTTTCTAAATGTATCTTCTGCCTATACATGACATAAGTTTTGCCAGCGATCTTAAGCAGTTGCAACTTCTTGCAACTCAAACTGAAGTTAAACATCAGTAAGGAAGAATAATATGGATTAAGTTGGAATCTGTAACTGATATTCAATAATCTATATTGCAATCAATGACTCCTTTTGATCTGCAGCAATATTAAAGTGTGCTATAAGGCATGATAAATTTCTATTTCTTAAATATGTTAACCTAGAGAAAGAAAGCAATTCAGTTAGTTGATCTCATTCAGTGTTAGCTTTCACACGCATATGTTGACTATCATCAGATGTTCTAAACTTCACATCGCCTTTTCAATTTCTATTCTCAACAGAAATGACAAATATCACTTTAAACAGTGTACCTACCCCTCCAAATTTAACTGTCTTTGGTTTAAAACAGAATGTTTCCAAATAGCTATCAGTACTAAGGACAGATTAATTTTAATAAGTTTATTACATACTTCCTCCAACTGCTTTTTTAAATCCAGAACTTCTTTGCAATATCTCTTCAGAAGGGCATCATCGTCAAGTACTTCACTGACTTTCGGAGTATTCTTCATTCTTTTGGCTGTATTGGCAAACTGCAAGAATATTCTTTCATGGGCAACAGTTAAGAGCACTAATATATCAAAATACTTATGCTGTCTCATATTTCCCAACAGAATTGAAGGGACAGTTTATTAAATAAAGAGCAACGTATAATCAAGGACTCAAATATTTACATTTGCTTATTTTTCCATGTATTCTATGATTTGAAAATGTAAGTTTTCTTCGCTTGATAATATTACCTAAAAAGCCCAACATTTAATCAAAAATATACCAAGTTGCTTTTTATTTAATAAAAAGCTCAGAAGACCACCAAAATAGAAGACAATCCTACCTAAAGAATACAGTTTGTGAACAGTTCAATTACCCTCATTTCCTGCAGGACCCATCTAACATCCTGTGCCAATAGACCTGTAGTTCTAACTGTGTTTGGAAAAGGAGAGTGAGAAAATAGAGGTTACCTCCTGCCTGCAGGGTGAGAGAAGGAGCTTTGCTCCAACTGCCAGAAAGTTTGTTAGACAACTTTGCACAAGATGACAACTGGGAAAAGATCCTGTGTACAAAACAAATATTTCCGAGTCCGCAGAGGTCCTTTAGAAGAGTCAAGTGACTACAGATACAGCAGATTACGTTTTCCACCCCTCCAACATGCCTACAATGAAGCCCAGAGTCAGAACACTGCCTAAAACAAGGTGAGAAGTTTTACCTGAAGAGTCCTGAGCCTTTCATCAAAAGAAATAGGAGTAATTGTACAAATAATAACTGTCTTAGCATTTCCTCCAAGGGAATTCTGCAGAATTCGAGTCAACTTGCTACCTCTGTAATTTATGAAGCTGATGAACAAGGAGGAAGGAAAAAAAAAAAAAATCAGGAAAATTCATATTTTTGTGGAGAAAAAAACACAATAAATATCTTTTCTAGAGGTAACAGGTTACTTGAAATAGTTACCTACATAAAATACGATTAGATAGGAAAGACTTTAATTTTTTAGTGTATTAGCGACTTCTCTTAAAACACGTATACAAATACGAGTGCTTGCCCAGAAGGGTCATCACAAAGTTTTTTGATAACTTGACCCAGAATGAACAAGCTCCGGTTTATACTGCAGCCTTCCTTCAGTCGGACACCTAGGTATCACACAGTAAATACTGTTATTGTTTATTTTTTTTATTTTAAAAACACACTAAGATACATTTTCAACCTGTCAAGATTTTGTGCTATGTTATGCTCAGAGGGATTATCCAAGAATTAAATCTCAAGTGCCACAATGCACTGTGACCCATCAGCACCCAGTATCAAACCCTTAATAATAGCTAAAATGCATCAAAATAAGATAGTAATCTATCACAAATAAATATGAATAATCTTTACATAGCAAGTAGCTGGGGTAATAAGAACTTTATTTTTGTTTCCTGTTTAAATTTTGCAAATGCCCATATTTACATGTGTAAGCATAACATACCAGCCTTAGATACAACTTTTAGGTTAGTCTTTCCTTGTAAGAGAGAATATTAACTTGTGTTCCTCCCAGATCACTTATTTCATGATAAAGGCATCTCTGTGCAGCTTCATGCTGTCACTGTTAACAATCAAGCTTCCTTTTAGCTAGAGACATCTATTCACTCTTCACCTTTGTATGAGTCCCTACGAGCTTCCAATGATTTATTTCCTAGAGGTGAATCTTTACTGATTCATCTCAATTCTATTAGCTCAGTGCACGACTGTTGCTGGATCTGTTGTTCTAGAAAAGCCATACTACTAATTGTTTGCACTTTACAGCATGTTCAGTACTTTACTGGGTAGAGCCTGCCCTACCAAGAGGAAAAGGGATTATCTATAAACAGTAACACAACAGCACATAGATCAAAACTCCCTTTCTGTCATAGTCTCTCACAAGAGTTAATTACCAGAAGTGGTCATCAGGAGAGCCTCATTTAACACTCACCTTCAGATCCTGTTTGACTAGCTCTTTCACTGCCTGCCAGATCTACCGAGTTCTGCAAATTCATTAAATATTTCACAGGTTAGTTCTGAAGCAATTTAGTTTGAGATCCCCTTAATTCTAAATCTCTGCTAAGAATTTCATAAACTAAGTTACATTTAAAATAAACAGCTCTGTCATTATTGGAAGCAATCTATAGCTACTACATACGTACCAACCAATACTTTCAAGTTATGTAAGACAATGGAGGAAGCGCATATGAACTCTATCACAGCACCCTAAACAGTATTTCAGACTTGCAGTACAATTCCCCCTAGCCTCAGTAACAGAAAAATATAACAGTTTCTCAGTACAGAAGTGTTAACGACAGATTCAAGCCACAGAAAGCTTCACAAAGTCACAGATCATCCACTCCAATCTTTCATGGGAAAGAAAGCCTAGATGAGATTATCTAGCACCCTGTCCTGAATCAGCTGTATGTCTCTCCTTGCCTGTCATTGTGGGGATAAGGAAAGGAGGAAATTAAATACCAGAGGAAAGGCCTCACTCTGAATTTGGTTCAAAATCAACTAGAACTTTACAGCTTCACATAACGATTGGCCTGAGCAAGTAGCTCTCACTAACTGGTTTCTGTTTCAGAAGGGTAAAATCCTGTACTAACTTCACCAAGCAGCAATAGACCAAAAGGGCTAAAAAACCCTCTCCCCTGCCAGTCTCGGTCCAATGCACTGAATAATAACAAACTCACTTCAGTTTGCAAAGGGGGAACACTGCCAAGAGCAAATGCTGCCACCCTGTATGCAAGCCTCCAATGTATTATCCCCCATTTACATCCTTTCTTTGTTTTTCCCATCCTACTGACCCTCAGATCTAGTCTGTTTACTGACCACTGGCTCATCCCACGCTCCACAGCTGCTGTTCTGACCTGCAGCTTTTCACGTTCACAACAGGGTGTTCTGCACTCTTGCTTCATTTACCCACAACCATCCTTCTAGTCTGAGGGTCAGTTTACAATTTTGCTAACCACCAATCCTTTGTTCCCACATCCCCCCATGTTAGCAGAGCTTACTATAAAGTCAGTTGGGACAGAGAGACAGGGTGGAAGGCGGGTGGTGTAGTAGGAAGAGTAGATCCCATAAGCTATGGTGAGAATAAAAAACTGGGCAGGAGGTTGCTCAGGTACTGCATGAGCAGTGTTTACACTCAGAGCCCAGGGGGTTTTCACACGAAGCCACAACAGAAGGCTATTTCCACAATGCCTGTGACTGACTTAATGCTATTCTCAATTCTGAATAAGAATGCTCATGCAGATTTCAGCAAGCTCAAATGCTTTCGTATTGGTTTCATCCCTCCAGTTGATATGGATTCTTTTCTGAGAATCAAGGAAAGGCTATATAGAGGAGGCTTCAGAAACCAAAGCACTCCCCTAGGGACCAGCAGTGTGCTCACCTGCACTTAGGATATTTCATATTCTAGTCATCCATCAAAGAGACGCTAAGTGGGCTTACTTTTGAAAAAATGAATCTTCTGGCCATTGCAGCTGTAGGCCACATGTTCTTTTAACAAAAACTAAATTTGAGTGTGAGAGAAGCCTTAAGGTTACCCACTTTGCAAGTTATTTCACTGGGCTTGTCAGTGTGGTCAGGAACAATTGTAGGGGAAGCTGTGTTTAACAAAAATGCAAGAGCACTCTTGACAATAGCCCCGTACATTCCTGGGAAGAGCGTAATACTCCCCAACCCAGCATGAGCTGTCTAGGAACTGTTCCCACGTCAGAATTGCCTTTGGTGGGAAGATATCCTCTAGATAGCACACCAGGAATACCTCTCTATACAGAGGATCAGAAGCATGATTTCTGCTTAAGAAATGTCCGCTAGAAGTTAACAACAAAGCATACTTGTAACATCATTATAAAGTAACATTCTCCCCAAAAAGCGGCAACAGTAAATAGGCATTTAAGTAGAGAATTTAGTACCTTCTCGGAGTAGAGCTTACCAAGTGGGATACCATCACTGCTCCATCACAGTTTGCATTTGTAGGGTCACTTCGTTCTCTGCTTTCAGTGATCTAGAAGGAAAGTGCAATAAAATTTGTCATTTCTAAAAATAATAATAAACCCCCTCCTAATAGTGAAACAGTTTTTACCATTCTGAAGATAGTGTGAGAACAACTGCTGTGTTCATTCATTCTGGTTTCTCCATAATGGCGATTTTCTGCCAAAAAGCACTATTAGAATACCTCTGCTTATATTCTGATAAACTACAGATAACAGACAAAAAGCAGAATTTTAAAGCTACCTGAAAAACACTGATTTCTGGATATAATTTCAGAGATACCCCATGATTCTAGAGATACCCCATTCATCAATGCTTTTCTAAGGTATCATCTGCCATTGGTTCAACAACTTACTTTCTCCTTTTCTGATCCATTCCATAACTTCTTCTGGGGCAACCACCACCTCTTCAATCAGATCTTCTACATAGGTATTCCTCTTCAGAACAAAAACAGTAATAAATTTTACTGAACTCTAAAATGCACTTCCATACATTAAGTTAACATTACCAGCAACTATTATGGTATTTATTCCAGTTTGTTTCCATCTTAACAGGAAGCAACATCAGCTGAATGTGTTTCTACTCTGAACACAAGGAATGAAGAAGTTTAGACCTTTACCAGAACTGTAGCTTAAAGGCACAAGAATCAAACAGAGATTTAGAAATTTTCCTAAAATTAAAACTGGTAAGAGAAATATGCTGGATATTTTCTGAGGGAATTCAGGAGCATATTACTCAGGAAATGTTCTACGGCCACAGTCACATAACTGATACATCTCCCTTCTTCCCAAGCTCCAAAAACATAGAACATTTAGGGCACTGAAAGAAAAACAAACCCAAACAAAAAACAAATCACCAATTTTTATTATTTGTTACAAAACTCAATATAAACAAACCAAAGATGGCATTAATATAGGCTTATTTTCCCCTACTGATCATCTTACTGAATAGTGCTAATGTGATGGCTATTCTAGGATTTCAGTACAAGTGTTATCAACTTCATAGATGATATGAAGATGGTATTAAAGTAACAGTACATCTGTTGACAGCTTCTAACACATTGAAGCTAGGTGCTTAACAACATGCTTACAGAAGTTTTATTAGCTAGACAACTCCCAAGTAGTCACTGTCAAAGCTAAATAAAATATACTACCCCTGGAAAATTTAGGGGATTAAGTATACTTTTACAAATGTTTATAAAGATAAACCAGCAACAGCAAGCCCAGCTTCACTGTTGTTATTCTATTACATTGAGTGCCTTTCTACTAATTCTGAAGATAACAATTACACAATTTGACACAGTTTTCAACTAGATGCCTCTGAAAGGTTTTGGTTTGGTTTTTTTTTTTTTTTTAAATTTCTTTACTCCAAGCAGGCAGAATACTTACATTAATATCCTCATGAATTCCCAAAGGTTTCTTTTCCCGGTTATCACAAAGCAAATCTGTAATGGTTTTGTGAGAAGTAACAGTAGAATTTTGCTTCAGCTGTAAGTAATTGAACAATTACTTGTACTGAGTTAGGCTAAAGCTGTTATTAGTACAACGATCCAAATTTTAAGAAAAGTAAAAATATTTACTACTGGGAAAAAAGGGGGAATTGATCTGAGGAAACACTAACCCAATAGCCCCCTGTTTTGCCAATTGACGGGGTTAACACAAAGGACACAGACACCAAGCTAAAGAAATGGGCTTATTTTACTTTAGTTTAAAGCAGCAGAAAGAATAAGCAAGGTAACGCACCTAGTCATTGCTACATAAAGCTGGCTATAGTGATTAAGAAAGATCCATCACCAATTGCCCTCCTACTTTACCATCACCCTGACCCGTGCATCAGCTGGGGAGCCCCGTCCCAGCGAAGGGTCGGAGAGCCTTTCCCGGCAGCTGGGAAGTCCCACGCAGGGCGTCCGCTCGTAGGTGGGGTCTGCGTCTGTGCTGTGAGGGGGCCCGGCTTTTATACAGTTTAACAAACAAGTCTAAACAAAATGCAGGGGAGATAGGTGGTAGATTGATGTGCCTCACTCAGGTGTGTCCGGATCTGGCCAGGATCTGGGCATGTCTGAAGAGTTTCTGTTTTTCTTTACATTTGGGATTTATAGTTACTTCCTGTTGTGTACTTACAGTTCCCAGGGATTGTTCCCAGGGTTACATTTCATGCTGATAAGATGCTGGTTGCTGGTCGTGGAATTCACTCAGAAGTCAACTTTGGTTTGAGGCCTATTGTTTGGGCCTTTTTTATTTCAGTCAACTCAGTATCTTCAGCTCCGGAATCAGGGCCAGCACTTTGAGACGTAGTTGCATTAACAGAACTTGCCTATAGTAAGTATAAAGACAAAGTTTTATCAAACTTTATGAACAGGTTTAAAAAAAAAAGACAAACCACAAGAGAGAAGAAAACAAGGAGACAGCTCTGCAGCCAACAAAGTTCAGTATGTTCCACACTGTCTTAACAGACAGGAATTTAGTCACCAAATGCGCATGCCAGTTAAAAATCATCACTTTCCATTATACAGATAAAGTTCCAAGAGAAAGACATAGAGGGTTACTGAGTCCTGGCTCACTTTCCTATGGGAGTGATCTTCTACAGGAACTCAAACAGTCAAGCTGCAGCTGCTTGCCTTACTACTGAAACAGGGTAAAACAGGGAAATGAAACTAAGTCTTGGAAACAATGTGCAAGTTAAAGCTTCCCTACGTTGGTTTTCTTCCCACCCCCCCAGAAAAATACACCATGGTGCAGCTGCGGCACATTTTGCTTGCGCGTGCGATTTTCATTTTATTTTTTAATAATTAGTTAGCACATGATTAGAAGACAGAAGTTTTTGATTACATTACTCGGAATGATCACTTTTAGCATAATTCCTCTTTCCTACTAAAGCTCTCAACACTTTATGCTACAAACTAGAACTCGAGGCATACTTACCCCTCTCTTTTGGACGGTGAAACTTTTACCAACGTTGGTATGTGCCAGTTCACGGTCCATCTCACTCATGTATGACTTGAGACTGCCTATAAGCTCATTAGGCGGCACCTTCTGGTCTTGCCTTTGATCTTCCACATCTAAGTCTTCATCATCCTTGTTCGAGAAATCAAACTCCTCCTCTTCATCCAGACCATCAGAATCCAGCTCTTCTGAGTCTGCCCCTACATATATATTATTTTGTGTCAGTACAGATAGCAAACAAATCAGCACAGCGACCATGGGTGACGGATGGATGACCCAGGAAAGCCAAATAACCATGAGATATTCTGACAAAAGAAACAAAGAAGCAATCTCACCTAAAATTCTGACTAACGCTTTTGTAAAAGAATCTACATCAAAGGTAACATGGGATTCATCAGGTGACCTGATATCTAAAAAAATTTTTAAATAAATAAAGCTTTTAGGCTTGCATAAGCTGACACAGACATAAGCCATATGGCATACAGATTTCTCTCGAGCCTAGACTGAAGGTGGAACATTTGAACTGATGGTCTTGGAAGTGCTTAGAAGTCTGAGGCCTGTATGAACTAGGAACGAAACAGCAACGGGAGGAGTTCCTGGCACGAAAGAGAAAATAAACCCAACAACTTTAACCGTTTGTTGTGGTCAAATAAAAATTGCACCGAAGGGAACCAAAATAAACATGCCCGAATCTTTCTGGAACAAAGTGGTGGTGCTACACCTCAGACAAAGATTTAAAAAGCTGAGAATCTTGGAGGTCTCCTGCCTAGAAAGAACACCGCAGGCTTCATTCTAGTCTCTTTTAAGGCTCAGTGGTTTGCCCCCCCTTTTTTTTTTTTTTTTTTTTTTTTTGTTCCTTTATTTTTTAAATAACTGAAAAAAGTCCACATTATAACTCAGACATTGACACTAACAGTAATTAAAAAGGATCAAACAATTAAGAGTATAAATTGAGTAGACCCTTATACGCTTGATACAGTTTACACAGCATTATTTTCTCAATATTAAAGCTACTAAAAAGAACTTGGACAATATGCTCCTACCTCACCCTTTGTTTTTTAAAATTAAAGGCCTGTCCACACCAGTCACACACACTTTCTTAACTCCAGCACTTAATCTAGTGGCATTCTGCTCTTGCCTAACTAGTTAGGTATCTTCAGTTAGCACTCCCACTGTTGGGAATAATGACAGGGATCCACCGTGATTTGATTCTTTTCTCCTGCTTCTAGGTGTACAGTATGTGCATTACAGAATCAACCAAAGGGCTACAGCAGAAAGAAAACACATTCTACACCACGCACCAAACTTAAAAATACTACTGCCGTGGCATTTCTGCTCCTTCATGTGGTGAGACTTTGGATACAAAAGCCTTCATACTTTCAGCAACTGCTTCCAAGTCGTATTTCTGCTCTTCCTCATTGGAGGAAGGAAGGGACTCATTTCTTGCCTCCTTCAGCATCTGATCTAGATCACCTGCTGTAATCTCCAGCCAACTGTCATCTGAAAGAATGCAGGGCATATTTGTTATTCGGCACAAATCTGTCAGCCCACAATGGCCACAAAACCCAATCCAGATGGCTGAGAGTACTGCTAGCATTTTGTAGCTTATTTTTGCACTGTCAAGTTTTCGTGCTGATACAAAATAACACGGGGTATAAGGCAGAGAGAGGCTGAGAAGAGTGTTCGGATTTCATTTTACTACTTTAAAACTCTGCTCTACATGCAGCTTCAAACTAGCAGAAATTGTTGTAGCCACAGGTAATCCTTCTGCCACTAAATGAAAGAAGAAAAGGCTTACACTATAAAGGGAGACCTTCCACTACAATCATTAATGCTGAATGCTGGATTTGCATGCTAAGGCATCATTCAGAAATCCAGATGTGACCTGTGCTGCACGCTGGCAACAACTGCGTTCCTGTGACATGAGTGAAAAGAACCTATTATGTAAAGTTTATGCTGGTCTTGTATTGGCCATCAGAGTAGACCAGATAGTAATTAACTTTGTATTGTCAGCATTGGAATTGATTTATTATTATTCTTAAATGTTTAAATACCTCCTGTCTGGTATCCAGTTGACACAAAGGACTTGATCTGGTGTAAGTGTGCACTGGTGTTATCAATCTAGTGGTATCAAACCAGAAACTGGACTGCGTATTTCGCCAGTTCACAGCCCCGAGCTTATACAAACGAACTGGTTGCCTTCATCTTAAATGATGGCCCATGAATAACACCTCCAGCAGTCACATGGTAGGAGACTAAATCGACAAAGAGACTGGTACAGTGCTGTGAACATTCACCCTCTTCCCCAACAAATACTCATTTGTGATAGGAACAGTCCACCCCCCATCCGGCTCACCATCCTCTGGAAAAAGACAAGCTGCTTCTCTCTCAAATTCCTTCAAATCAACAGTTGTTGTCTGTAGCAGTGTCAAGATTTCATCACCTGGGCTCACTTCAAAAGAGCTAGACGAAAAAAATTCCATTTACTGAAATGGATTTTTACTAGCATTACGATACCAGTGGCATCACACACACTACACGCAAGTTTTCACTCCAATTCCTCAAGATTCCTTCTGTGCAAAGACATCAAAAAGGTAAGTGAATCTGGGGAAAGTACCAGAATACTACACCAATAGTATTAGCCAAAACAGGACACGGTCAGTTACTGTTACTCCTTGTTGATGACTCCAAAGCAAATTTCTCATGCTTCTTTTGTTATTTATATTTATTTTGCCTTGGTAAACATTAGGACTGCCAGATCCCAAACAGCACAAGACTGGAAATTCAAGCAACTAACAGTCAAGATATTATGAGTTGGCAAACCCTCAGATATTTTTGTAATGATTTATTTTTTGGATTTGATCTTTTAGAGAAATTTACAGCCAGCTGCCTCTCGTAAGTAAAGGAGACAGATTACTCCATATTTCTTATTCACTAAGATTGATTTTCAATTAAGCTTTTAAACACTTTCTACAACCAACCAGCCAAATGATGCTTTTCAGTCACCTCTTAACCCACTTGGAATAGCTTAGCATTTTACAAAACCAAGATAAATAGTTACTCAAGCAGTAACTTCTACTAGCAGAGTATTCTAGAGGAATTAATACCCCTATGTCTTAGCCACAGCACCTATGTTAAGTGTACAGTGGAGAAAAGGGTTCGGGTTCTTTGTAACAAGTATTAAAAAAGGTAAATTAAAGTACTTGTAGGTACTGCGTATGGATGGTTACTCATGAATTTCAAGTAGCTCTTACCTTTCGGGCTTGGTAACAGACTGTTGGAAGTAATCTTCTGCCCTGTGCAGCACTTCCAAGTATTTAGCAGATCCTTCCATTTCTCCCTATTTAATGCAAGCCACAAGTATAAATCTAAAGAATTCTCCCTCCCCTTCCTTTCCACAGACATGCTTCGTAACAATGACTATTTGTCAGACAGAAATTTAGTTCTGAGAAAAATCCCAACAAGTAATACTGCTGTGCCACGTATGCTTGGAACAGAATATAGGAAAGGGGCATAAGGTGTTTTCACTGTCAAATATGAATTGAAGTCTTGTGTTACAATATCATATGGTGTACACTAAAAACAATCGAAGAAAATACTGATCCTTACAACACAGTGTATTTACCATGCCCAAGTTACAATTGTGCAAGGATTGTGAATGAATCTCTTGGTTTTGGGGAACTATCCATACAAGTGGCATTGCAGTACTGTAAGCATATTCCCCTTCTCTTATATTTACAAGATATTAACCTAAGCATTCCGAGTTGTCTGATTCTATAACCTTCAAATAAGTAGTCAATTTATGACCAATTTGTAAACTTCAAATAAGCAATCAAAGGCATCTTTTTAAAAAAAAAAAAAAACAAAACAAAAAGCCCCACACAAACAAAAAATACACTTACATGGCCCCAAATGTATCGATGGGTGTTAAGTATAGATCTTAAAGAATATCTAATTCTAAATGCATGCAAATGAAATGTAAAACAGTTAAAACAGTTATACTGACACACAGCCAAACTGTGGTTTCCTTTATTCGAGTGTATTTCCACTTTCTTTAGATGAATAAATTCATCCGCAAATCCTGCCTTTTCCTTTTTAATTTCCAAAAGAAATTAACTCATTTCAAAGGGGAACAAACTGCACAGATCTCCTGTAGAGACATCCACTAATTTCCCACAGACAGAAGCACCAGATTTCTTGCCCTGCTGTAACTACTTACACAAGTTCAAGAGCTACAACATGTTTTTCCTGGCATGTTTAAAAGACAAACACACACACACAACTACACCCTGAAATAATTCTTTTCCTTCAGGTTGCTGAGGAGGAATCTCGCCCACAGGGGACCGCTTAACACATTGCTCTTGGAATCAGGAGATACTTTACTGCACTTGGAGCACAAAATTTCAAAGCCATGGGCCTGTATAAGAGATGCAACAACATGAGACTCTCCAGATGTGCCACATTTAAGTGCACCTTTAAATGACCGCGTAAAGAACTGACTGCCATCGAGCTCCTGATACTGCCACTTGAGAGAAGCAGGTGCCAAACCCAATTATATGTCAGGGAGCAGTATCTTGCTTTGGAAGCTGAAATCTGTCTTTCTGCAGCAATAATGGTTCATTTTGACTTCGCAAAGTTTCTCTACATGGGAAAAGCAACCTGGAAGACAGATCTGTAGTGCACAAGCTACTCCTCATACAAGCATGAAGGCTTGACCTGTACTTGTAATCTATATAAGTACAAGAGTGCTCTAGCCTGTAAAAGAAAGCCCCCACAATAATGTACTTCCAGAAAAATGGTAACTGAATTTGCTCGCATTATTCTGTACAAGCAGGCAACTTACAAGCAGAGTAACTTCTTGGACATAGGTAAACAAGCAAACTAAAGACTAAGTACAAAATGCATAAAAAGTAATTACCAGCTTCATGCCCAGTTCATAGGCTTTGTATTGAGGGTGAGATGGGAGGGGCAGCGTGTATCCACTTTGACTCCCAAACTTATTTTCAGGAGTCTAGCGGTATAACTCTGTTATGCAAACATATCCAACACAACACTGCTTGGACAAGGAACATAAACCACTTCCTAAAGTAGCTTTCACAGAGCTGCGTAAGCACCGCTGAGAAGGGGAAAAGCCTTGGAATGAACACCTAGGGGTAGTTAGGAGCAACTCCTGGTGTTGGCTGGCAGTGCTGTCAGACTGCTCCGATCACAGAACTAGATGAATTTCCTTAGCGAGCATTCCAGCAGAGGAGCTACTAACAGTAACCTCCGACTTCAGAGGCACTTCTGATTAGCCATTTGAAAGCCTAGCTATGTCAATCTGAAGGCAGAAAAGCTATTTAACATAAAGAACTGGAAATGCATGTCTAGTGTCAAAAATAAAAAATAAGTCAGAAAACATTCTATTTTAACAATTAAATCCACATAGTTGTATCACCTGACCACAGAACCTTCGTCACTTACAGAACCTAATTCAGTGACAAGTTTCATCAGAAGGATCACCTACTATGGTCACCACACGCTCGTCTGGAGGGAAAGTCTGAGAAGAGCCACACGCTCGTAAATCCACAGGCTCTCGCAGGTGAAAGGCCTGGACTGCTGCAGCCACCAACGAAGGGCGCTGCCTCAGCACTGCCACAATGCCTGCTGGAAGGTAGCAGTGGGCTCGGTGAAATGAGGTCTGAATTTTCTCAGGATACCTGCATTGTACAATAACATAGCGTAGTAAGTGCATCGCAAGCAGAAACCACTCTTTAAGCTAATATTCCCATTTTCACTTTAATACTAATCTGTATTATGGGCCAAATGCCAGTTGATTATTCTAAACTAAAGTTAAAACTCCGCTAATCTAACACGTGGCATGTCTGTTTATACAGAACTACACATGGCTAATAAAAATTTAATCCCCACATTGGTAAAATGAATCACTGTGAACTTGACTAACATGTCCTACTCCACAGCATCCTTCACTGCACCGGCTGTAGAAGTCATCTGGCTCGTGCTGTCAAATCCTTGCAAAAAATAACTTATGGTGCTGAATAGACCTGTGAGAAGCTATCGCTCTGAAAAGCGTGATGGTTCTACACTTTAGTTTGCAATCCTTTTTCTCCCTCCTCAAAGGGCTCCTAAAGGCCCACAGAACTTCCAGATTTTTCAGTACAAGAAGGAAGTGAAGGCAGAATAACTTGTCCTTGTCAGGTGTGGCATCACAGCAGTGAACCAGTTCCAGAGCCCCCAGATCACAGCACAGCCTACAGGGCACTGGTCCCCCTCTTCAGAAGAAGACCACAGAAAAAACACTAGTTTCTGAAAAGGAAGCCACTTTATCACACCTAACAGGAAAACGACTGAATACAAGAAAGCACCTCAGACAGCCCAGAATCAAAACTCACCGTTGCAGAAGACCAAAGTGAAACACCCACACACCCACTGATGCGCTTCTACACTGCTGTTGGGATGGGCTCTGCAGCCAGGAACTCCTCTGAACAGGTGGACAACAGCGTCACCGCCTGCGAGACTGTCAGAGTGGTGGCAGATAGGTCACGTTCCTGCTCCTGGGTCTCTGACAGCGGGATGAGGTGCAGCTCTCCTTTGTAAAAGAACACCTGGCAGGTAGCAACAGTCTCATCAGACAGGATCGGAACAGTCACACACTAGGCAGCCGAAAATTTAATTTAATATACAAATGCACATGTTTAAACAGAGAGAATACCGAAGTACAAATAATACAGAAAACAGCACATTTTTTTTTTAAATGCGAGTTGAGGTAAATACAGATGCCACAGACCATGATCCAACCAGTAAATAAAAAAAAAAAACCTGTTTTAACTGCAACACGTTTGGTCCAATGTATTTGGTTTCGTTAATAACAGCAATAGCAAACGTTTCTCTTCAACTAGAGATTTGCTTCAGGAGAATCAGCATAATTTAACTGCTGAAGAACAGGACAGGAACTGAAAAGCATTGTTTCAGGTGCTACACATGACCTCTGTCGGTTCCCCATCCTAAGAACTGAATTGCAACATTATCAACTTCCTCACTCCTTCTGTTCCCTCAACTGGAAGGAAAATATGGCCCTGAGAGTCAAGACACAGGTTTGCAATTAACTCCTGTGTTGTGTTCCACCCCTTTTCTTTTAAGAGTCTTGTGGGAAAAAAAAAAGAAAAAAAAATTAAACAAATCTGTGGTAATGAAAAAGTAAGTTCCTTTCATTTAAATCCATTGCCAAGAAACTCTGGGACTAGCAATCACCCACAGCAAGCTGATGTGGCTGCAGAATGAAAGTCTACTGCAGACAAGACTAGTTGCACGCGTGTACACCAGTGTTACAGTCAACCAATGAACCTTACTTATTTCAACTTTACCAGCAGAGATTTAGGTTTTTTACCTCATGGCACACACAAGCTCTAGTCTAGTCAGGTGAAAGGGAGCTTGTTCAGAGACTACAGGAGAGAAGAAGTTAACTTTTGTGCCCCGGAACAGCTTTTTTTTTAAGCACTCCCTGTTAACTTTGTTTTGATGCCAAGTATCACCTCCACCTGGAAAGGGCGGCACAGAGAGCAGGGGGTTAGGTGCACGTTCTGAAAACTAGCTCCGTCAAGACAAATGACGCTGGATTCATTTCATCAGCAGTGGTTTGGGACTCCTTACAGAGTTGTCAGCATTCCCCACATAAAAATACACTAACAAGATAGGAGTGAAGCTGCAAAAGTTAATGGAAGCTGCAAGGGTTAAGGTAGCAAGTACATGGGTGACTGTCAGAGGACAGGAGGGGTCTTTTAGCTTGTTGAGTAGCTGAGCGGCCTCCTACCACTTACAAGTGGTACAAGAGGCAACTGAAAGGCACTAAACTGAAGTAACTGGTTTTTAAGCAAGACAGGAATGGTTCCTACTGAAATCTGCTCCCTCCCCCGCCCCCCAAAAATCCAACCCCAGTATCTTTAAATACAAGCTGAGTTTTGACTGATGTATTAACAAAAAAAAAAATTGAAATCAGCAGAAGAACTTCGTAGACTTGAACACTTTATGAAATATCCAGGAACATAGTAGTTGCCTGCAATGCAGCAACTGTGAAAGCATAAAATTTGCCTCTTTTGGATGGCCAGGCACTTGTCTCAAACTTGCCTAAGTCTTACGTAACACAGTTGATATTAGAATAAAAAAAAAAAAAAACACCAAAAAAGAAAAGCATTTTAGTTTTAAGCTAAAGGAGATGCATTTGGTACTTAGTTTTAATACCTTTCAAAAGTCCTAAAGTTGTACATGATCTCTGTTTATTAGGTCTTCAGCTGCATGGTTCTCTGAAAGCCCACAGTCGAGGTGGATCAGTCACAAAAAGCAAACAGGGGTTCTAAACGTGCCATGAAGAAGTGTCCATCCATGACCAGAGTCATGCACCAGCTCTCATTCTCAGCAATGTCAACATTGTTTACAGCAGAGTCTTCAAACACCCATCCTTATGAATAGTTATTTTTTTATCAATCTAAGAAGCAGCTGCCAAAGATTAGCAGGGGTATACTTAAAACATTCCATTTGCCACCAGTAGAAGTAGTTATACTCCAGTGGAAGGGTAAATGCACTCCAGTGGGCAGTAAAGCCTAACTCCTAGAAAATCCAGACAACACACTCAGCCACTGCTGTTTTCCCATTACTGGCTTATGACCTGTTCATCTTGTTACAGGCAAGTACTGCAGAATCTGCCAATTTTTCTGTTAGCTCTACAGAAGATGAAAGATTTTCCATCACAGCAGTAATTTCAATGTTAAAAGCTGTATTTATATGTTTAAAGCAACATTATACTATCAAAAGCAAGCACTACACGTCGCTGCTTCTACAACTCAACTTAGACAAGTTATGAATCCTGTAATAACTGCAGCAGATATCAACGCAGTTGTATAAAAATAAGGTAGCAAACCAGCTGAGCAGAACTGATGACTTTAAGGGTAGCACACTAGTGACTCTTCCTGTGTTACGTACTTGGACCTCTTCCTCACTGACTGAGGGTGGAAGAGGCAGAAGGGACTCTTACTGCAAGTAGTTCCAGACAGTATTCAAAGAAAGTACGTTGTCTTCCTGGCGGGATATTTCATGGTAATTTTGCAAAATAGGTCAGTCTCCCTTTCTAAAAATGCCTGCAATTACCGAAGATTTCTGCGCTCTGCCCTGAGGCTCCAAACCCACAGATGCAACGACGTTGTTAGTAGATGGGTTCTGCACTGGGACAGATGTATCAGTGGTATTTGCTGCAGTTGCCCTTGTGGCCCCAAATTAGACAAAAACATGAAATACATGCTTCTAAGTGATTAGCTGAAGGTCTTACTCCCAAAACAGTAAACTCCAGATGATAAATAAGCGTACAGACGAGGTGAGGATAACCACTTAATGTATTTTAACAAAATTAGGACGCTGCATGAAAACAGTTTTTCCTTTAAAAAATTGTCCAATTAAAAAGCACTTTCTTTCTAAATTTCCCTTATTAATGCTTTCTAAATTACAATTCATAATGAAAAAAACTAGTCGGTATTCTTTAGGAAGTAGCTCCTACTATCCCACTCTGTTATGTAATCTATCAAATGTTAGTGGTACCTACAGAACAGCTAATCATTTTTAATCCATATTGAAGTTATTGAGTCCAGTTGATCCAAGCATGCTTTACTCAAAAAGAAGGGAAAAGAAAGCAAAGCAGAACTGTGCAAATGTAACTAAGTTACCTTTCCTTTGCATTTCTAGAGGGGTGAAAAAAAAAAAAAAAAAGCTGTGGCCTCAGTTGAAATCTCTTGGGTTTGCATAGAGGCAAATTGATGCTAAAGAGAGGCCTCTGTTCACTAAACCCTTTCAAAATACAATTTCTTTTAACAGCTGACACTACTGGAACATTGTACAGTGTGGCATTTAGTTACATCAAGCTCACTGGAGATAAGCATCCCCTTTATATCGGTGCCATTCCTCAGGGGGCAAGGTAGTTTTCTGTAGCCCTAGTGCGTAAGAGTTACAAAAATATACAAATAAACTTGAACAGACTTCTAGTAATATAATGTAGTATTTTATAGCTAAGAGGAGTCAGTGTGTTAAAAAAGTGAAAGCAGTCTCACCATAAGGTAATTTTTGGTTTCTGTACAAATGGTTGACACGAGACTTCTGGGCTGGTAGGTGTCTATTTTGTATAGCAAAAGTAACGTTCAGGTCCATGTGTTGTGCAACACAGAGATATGCTGTACTCTCAGAATCAGGATAATTTTTGAAAGAAGCCGCGTAAAGGAATAGTTACCATCTACCTCTAGCTTCCCCTTGGGAAGCTCTATTAAATAGCCAGCTCCTGAATGCTATCACTGAAGCAGTGAGGACTTTCAGCTCAAAAGGTAAGTGTTCACATTGTCGCTCATAAGCCTCTGAAAAATGATCCACAAAATAAAGCCAGCCTCATCCCTTTGTGACAGAGTTGAAAACTAGTTAATTACCCTTCAAATTCATAACCCCACACACTGTCAGGTGGTTTAAAAACAGCTGAAGCATAAACCTTTCAAGTATTTGCAGATCCTACTTAAGGAATTCACTTCTGAAATAACAGAAGGGTTGACAAATGTAGTGAAGTAGCTAATCGCTACCACCCTACAGCAGACTTGACTGTGATGCTATTGAAATAACAAGCAATGCATTTCTGAGCTTTGGAACTCCTTGTCACGGGACATCACAAACCCTAGAAATGCACAGAACCGACTCTCTCCTGTGGATTTTTCAGCTATTGCCTCACCTCAGTGTGTCAGAGGATTCCTGCACAGTGACATACATGCTGCACTCTTCTTCCTAAGGCATCTGCCACAGGCAATCCAAGGCCAAACACGAGCCGGCCCTTTCATGGAACATGGCATCACCAGCACTGACGTCGCAGCCAACAATGTAGCCATAGTTACAGCTGCTATACAAATACTACAAAGTAGTATTTACTTGACTTCAATCAGTCAGAAGAGTCCGCACAATCAGTTTGTTTTGAACAGCTACACAGAAAACGTAGAGAGGGCTGGGGAAGCAACTTAGCACAGAATTCTATGAAAACTTTTCCTCTATTAAATCTGCAATATTCCAAAGTATCTTTAGAAAACCACTGAAAATACCTGTTGAGCTGAAGTTCAAAGACTTTTAACAAACAGCAGAAGGTTTGTTACATAAGAAACATGTGGCTAGCAAAAAGATAAGGTTTCCAACTCAGAAACCTCAGGAATCGCCACTGAAGACTCTCAAAGGTGAGAGGTTACACCATTTTACCATCAACTGTACCAATATCCATTAGGTGTTTGGAAGGAAGGTGCTTCAAAAGAACTTGAATAAACACACCATGGTCCCAAACCTCACACCGCTTCCTTACTGTAACAACTTTTACTCAGGAATCTGTTTGATCCTAACCGAAGAGCACCCAAAGGATTTTTCAAGAGTAGCACCAGAATGCTTTGTCTTGTTCATGATGCATTCTGTATCCTACCTCCCAGTCACAGCAAACTGATGCACACACTCTGAAACAGTAGCCCAGAAAAACTCTGAAATTCTCCCAAATCCACGTGATCCCATACAAAATGATACCTGGTATCTCAGCCTACACCATTCTTTATTTCTTTCCTTTCTTGGCTGCAGTCGTCTTTTCTCCTTTTTTAGCATTTTTCCCGTATTTTGCTTCCAGTTGGTCCAAAAAGTCATCCATTTCCTTTTTTCGATCTTTATTTCTGCTCTGGGGGAAAGGAAATTAAAAAAGAAAACCGACCCAAAACTTTTACTACTTCCTAGTACAGATTATTCTAGTGAAGTTGATAGTATGACAGCTACATAAAATATTGGAATATATTAAACAGGGAACGCAAGCAATATAATACAATACAAATATAACACAATACAAAGTGTAGTACCATCAAGCAAAATTCTACTTGTATACTCTAGGCTCTATACCTAACTTCTCCTGAAGTATCGAGACAGACGTAAAGTGGCTATAAAAATTCCCAACATAAGCCTAGGAAAAGCAAAACAATTTCTAAGTTTAGACCCAAAACTCTACTGCAGTCTGAGGAATGATTAAGCATGAATGTTCTAGGAAGCCCACTGGATGATGAGAAACAGAAAACATTCCAAAAAGCAGAATGTAAACAGTATGTTTCTTTCCTCGGTCCTCAAGATACAAAACAGGAAGACCTATCAGCTTCTACATCCTGATGGAATCCCTCAGAGAAAAAATCATTAATACTCCATGTCTAACTACCTAAAACTAGAAGTTAAATATTTTGATTGTGTATGCCATAAGGATATTTGAATAACTTTGTTAATTTTCAAAAGACGCAGGCAGTAAAATCCATACCACACTGACTATTAAGTAAAGTACATAGGTAGCTAACATTAAGGTCAGGTTTTAACCTCAGAACTCTCAAGTTGCAAGGATCCAAACTACAAAGAGGCTCAGGGAGAACGGAATTATAGGCCAGCAACATACTTATCTTCAGCAGATAGAAAAAGCCTTACTCGAATCAGTGCTTTCAAATCATCTTCTCCACCAAGTCCCAGTTCAGCTTTAGTCTCTTCTGCCTCTCTAGCTTCTTTTTCTGCCGAAAATAGCCAACTAGTTTTTTAACAAGTATTTTGCAAGTTTTTTGACACAGTCTTATAATAGTTATGAAACACTTTTTTTTTTTTTTTTTTTTTTTTAATCTGTATACAACTAGCTGCAAGGAAACACAAATCGTTTCCAAATTTGGCCACAGATGACAAACTGGTGAAAGAAAGACCATTCTGGCTTTAGTAGAGCGGGACAGTTTTTTGTTGTTTCACAATGCTGAATGTGATGTCTATGCCTATCCCTGTTCCCCCCACCCACACTTTTTTTGTCTTGGCAGCTATTACATTTTCTTTAACTTAGAGAACGGTTACTGCGATGTGCATGTAAGATCCACAAAGTGTTCAAAAAACCCTACGTTGAAGAAGAGGTCCATTTAGTCCAGAATGTTATTTCACACTCGCCAGAAGGCGAGCATAACGTATTTCTACCACGTACACTGAACTCCAGCAGCTCATAGCTGTGTAAATAAATGCAGGGACATGCTAAACTGTAATAAGCCATTGTGTATAATAATAAAGAATTAATAATAAAACAGAGAAATAAAGATTGGCAGCAGCCTATCACAGCTCAAAAGCCTGTCACAACAATTGGGGGGGGGGGGGGGGGGGAAGGGGGGAGAACACAGGTGTCCAAATGTGAAAGTCAAAGACACAGAGCAAGTTCTGTAACCCAGAAATCCTGTGGCAAACATTTCCCTCAAGAACAGTTCCACTTATTTCTAACAAGGAAGATTAAAAGCTTATCATAAAAAATATGCTTCCCTTTGGTCCCGGATTGATATAACCTACCCGCTTTTTCCTCACAATCATTTTCTGCTTAGACTCTCTTACAAAACCTTTGTAGAATGGGACTTCTCCACAGTCAATGGCTTTTTCTACGACTTTCCGTATTCTCGGTTCATCTGTATAGTCCACGCACAACACAGACTCCATTATTCTGTCCAGGTCACCCTCACAATCCACATATGCTGCTTTAATAACAGCTAGCTCTTTGTCCGAATCTTTCTAGCTCTTTTCGAAGTCTGCAATATCTTTCACTGTGATCTGAAGCAAAGAAGTGACACTTCTGAAGTTACGTGATTTATTCACCAGATGGATTTCAGAGACAGCGTTAAACAAAACAAATCAAAACAAAACAAAAAGAGAAGCCACGTGCTTTACCCGAAGCTCGCCAGGGAGCTCCCCGCTTCCCGCAGGGCCTGCCCCCGCCCAGGCGAGCCCTGCGGGGCCCCGGCCCAGCTCTCACCTTCCTGAAGAGCAGCCGCCAGTACTCTTGCCAGTCCCGCTCGCCCCTCAGCACCTCGCCCTCCTCGCCCACCGTGCCCTGCTCACCGTACAGGGCGCGCTGCTCCGCCTCGCTGAGGACGGCGTAGGCCTTGCCCAGGATCTGCGGGCACAGAGGGGCCGGCCGGTCAGGCCGGCAGCAGCGGGGCGGCCGGCAGCCTCCCTCACCTGGAACCGCCGCGTCGCCGCCTCCTTGGCGTGGGGCTCGGCGCGGCCGGGGTGGACGCGGAGCGAGGCGCGGGGCAGCCGCGGCGGATCTCCCGCGGCGAGGCCCGCCGGCGGGCGCCCAGGACGCGGCAGCGCTCGGCAGAGCCCAGGGCGGCCCCGCACGGCTCCAGCAGCCCCAGCCCGCCCGGCCGCCCCGCGCGAGCCTGGGCCGAGCCCGCGCATGCGCGGCGCGGCGGCGGTAGCGCCCTCAGGGAGGCGGGCGGGATTCCCCCCCCTCAGCCGCGCCGCGCCAAGCTGCTCCCCTCCCCTCCCCTCCCCTCCCCTCCCCTCCGCTCCGCTCCGCTCCGCTCCCCTCCGCTCCCCTCCGCGGCTGCAGCCGCTCCGCGGGCGGGCGCGGGGGGCGGCAGGGGAGGGGGAAGGCTTCCCGCACAATTAATTGGAGCGGGCAGGAGCTGCGCAGACGCCGGCGGCCAGGCTGCAGCCGGCCCGGCTTCCCCCGCCGCCCCCCCGCCGCTCCGAGGACGGTTTGGGTGCGGGCGGCTGCCCCTCGGGGACGGGCCGGGAACCTGCTGAGGAGCGAGAGCCTCCGCCCTCGGGACGCGCTCTGTGTTCTCCTGCGAAGGAAGAAAGCCAGGTGCGCTCAGACACAGTTAGCAGCAGTACGTTTTAAAACCAGCGGAAAACAAACAGATAAAACAAACGGGCGAGCAACTCCTCTTCGGCTTTCCACTTCCCCCTGGTAAAAACGAAGCTTTGCTGGCTTTTGTGAGTCATTCGGGATGGATGAAATCCACTGCCTACTGAAAAAGCTTGCCTGCCTTCTAAAAATAGACTCCCCAAATTCCTATGAGGCTTTCACTAAGGCAGACAGACCCCGGTAAAGGAAAACAAGCACCTCTTACAAATACCTACATTTATTACGTCAAAACTCAAAGTTCTAACAGTTCGCACATAGTCTTTTCCTTCCAGGCTGTCCCAAATGTGACAACAGGAAGGCAAAAGTGTTTGCATGTATCCCAACAAAGCCATGGAATAAAAGTCCTGTAAAGATACATTTATAGAAAACTCATATGGTCTTTAATGAAATGCAACATAGGTGGTATACACTGATTGATTCGTACAAAAAGACAGATGCATGAAATAAAAGTTAGTATTTTACCTTTCCTGTGCCTTTTGTTGAAATGTAGAACATTTCGCTACCAATACCACGGAGGGAATAAAACACAGCAGCATTAACTCACATTTCAGCTCTTATTTACAGCATTTAGATGGTAACATTGCAGAATATTCTTGCTTTCATTCAAAATATCTTATAAAAGCTAGCTGTTATCTACCATTACTGGAGAGCTCTGCTGATGTCAGTGAGTATCACTACTCACAGCTTGATTAACCAGTTACTGTTGTACAGTTGAGGCTACACCTGCAATGATTATTTCAGTCAGTTCTGAGAGATACCGCATCCTCTCTTCCCTGATCATCTTTTCTACTTCTCCAGTGGGCCCTTTATGGGTTCTCCAAATTTTGGTGCTAATGCAGACTGCAGCATTAACACAGCAGGACAAAGACGTGACAACCAAAGGGCATCAAATATAAAATACTTAACCATTTCATTCTTCTGATTTTTTCAACTTTAATTTTGCCTCATTTTCATATGAAGAAGCTTTGGCTGTTTCAGCTTTGTTTACAGGTTTCAGCAGTTTTCTTTTCTGGCTTTTGCTTTCTGGAACGTATCAGGTCTTCGCATCCAAGTTTGACCATTTTTGCTTCCCACAACTGCATTTCATTCTCGTACCGAACCTTATCATCTTCAGCAAGCTGCATGTATGGCTGGGAGAAAAGAAGGTATCAACAGTTACAGAAGGGGCTTTGTCAGGATAACTGCCATGTCACATCCTCCTCTTTGATACAGAGGTGACTTACTACACGACCTGTGTAGTGCACATCCCAGGCAGTCCACTTTCACCTTCAGAAAATTCAAAAAACATCCAACATAAAAATACAAAACCTTAGTACTGAACTGTGGTTATGTCAACAGATTGACATCCCTGCAGAGGAAGTTTATTCAGTACAACTACTGACAGCTAAGGCTTTTTATGGGAGTACTAGTCTGAGAGAGATGGCTTATGTAAGAAACAGAAACAGATATTTCTGCAGAACTATTTCAAATTCTTTTTCTACAGAAAAAATCCATGAACATAGTGCATGTTCTAAGAACGCATTCAAAACAGTCTGGAAGAAGGGCATTGAGGAGGAAGGACGGTAAGGTACAGAATACTTGAAAATTGGGAGGTTTAGATTAGATTTCAGTATAGCACCCCTCCAATTTTCAATACCCCCATCTGCAGGTTCGTATTTCAATACACTGAGAAAGCTGGCAAAAAAGTATCCTGAAGACAACCAAAATTAATAAATTACTACGTGCACATTACCTGTAGATTTCTGTTGCTTTTACCTGTCCAAAGTCTTTCCATGAGCAGCAAATTACTATGCTGGCATTTAAAAATTAGTATTGTTAGAAAAAACCCAAATTGTTGTAGATTATTCCACCTTCATCCCTAGATGCCGCTCAGCATCCATTTCCAGGCATACAGAACTTCCATCCCATCCCACTGAGTCACATTTCATCAACACTGTGAAAGAAATGGTCACTACTGGAATAAAAGTAATGACGATCTTTTTCAAGGTGTACAAATAAGATCTCAGAGTATTGTCCTCAGTATTATATTTTGAGCAACCGAATTCAAGATTTCCTATGAATTTATTAATTTGACTCCAGTTTGTAATTTTCCAATTAGATCAGAGCCTCACCAAAACCCACTGTTATACCTGCTGTTGAGAATCGGACAGTTTTCACCATGCTTCAAACAACTGCTTCATCTTTGCCTACAGGATACAGAATATACAATACGTTAGGATTATTTTCACAGTAGACTGACCACAGGGTTACGGATGAATGTCACACTAGTGAAAGCCAAGTATAAACCAATGTAAAAAAGCAGAAAGTCATATGGGATTAATACCCCACCCTCCTAAAATAGGTAAATAATAAACAATACGATTCACCAAGTTGCTGGGCATCACTCGAGCCACATTTACAGACAATATAAGCACAAAGCAGTTTAAGTTCGCCAGGAACCTAAAAGAGCTTGTACAGCCTCTGCGTAGTGTTTGTGTGTTCCTAGGCAAAGGAAGCAGAGAGAGCTGGATGGCTTAGCGTACCGTGGTAGTTTGGAGGGGAGGCTGCTGTACAGCGACGACCGTACGTGCGAGCGCTTTCTGTGAGAAGTTCTCGCCGTGAGCCTAAAAGCGCTGTTCTGGCTCTGATTAGTGTTTGTGTGTTCCCAGGGAAAGGAAGAAGACAGACAGGGATTGCTTAGTGCAGCGTGGTGACGCAGGAGTCTCGGACACAACATGCACGATCAATGTGATCAAGTTAATGCCACTTTATTAAAGGATACACAGCAATTTATACACTAGCACAAAGAGCACGCGTTACGTTTTGGTTGCTAATAGGTTAAAGCTGCTCGTTCACACGCCTTGCTCTGCCCTACCTACATTCTGTTTATGCATCTTGTTATCTTCTTTTTTACATTCCAACCTCCTTACCTCTCTGCAACATAGGCAGTTTCTCAAACCCCCAATTTCATTATCTCTTTTGACCTTGCATATGACCTTCACAACAGCTGCAGTTGTGAGGCCCCTCGGTCTGGATCGCCCACAACGTGCCTATTTGCTTCCAGCCACTCCACAACTTTTAGCAAGCATACAAGTAATTATCGTATGCACTTGTAACACTCGGCTGGCATTATTAATTTCCAGACTTGACTCAATTACAAGTTTTAAGAAGAGTTCCTTTCTAGCATATTCATAGTTCTGGTGAAAACAGACATACTCCAGCAGCATGTGAAGTTTTGACTGTAAAAGGGATGTTCACAAAACAAATCCGTCCTGTATCTTGTAATTTACTTTGATATGAAAAACCTTGAACAAAAAAATATGCTGTGTCAGCAATCAGACAGTTAAACAGAAACTAAAAAGGTGACTAATCACTTCAGCACACCTAAAGAGCAAGTACTTTAAAATTAAGTGAGTGTTTTCATATCTTCTACCATTTCTAGTGGGTCAGACTTTGATGTGATACCTTACTACAGCTTGTTCTGCTACTCAAGTTAGATATGTGTCCATCCTTAATTGTGTATTCAAGGTCTCGGCTCTGTTGAGCAATGTTGAAATAAGCCTAATAAGCCTACTGACTGGTACAGCATCCGAGCCTCACACACATGCAAGCTCACAGAAGAAACTTGGCAGGTGAAAGTCAAAGACACTCCTCCTTTTTCTCTTATTTTCTAAGCATTTTTCTTTTAACTTCAGTAGCATAAAGATGATAACACAAAATAGTGCTAAACAGAAACCACTCAGCGAGCATGACGACTTTCCAAAGTCAAATACCTGTGTATGTCCCTTTTTTTTTCCTTTTCTCCTATGCTGAATATCCTAATACAAAGACAAGGACTTCAAACACTGTCACTGTGAGACCGAAGCAACAGCATTCCAGAAATTACTCCAGGAAGCTGTACTGCCATCCTGCATCCCCTTTTTTTGGTCAGTATGTGTTACAAAGCTATCTTAGCATACATAAACTAAACTGGAGAAGGCAGTCTGGTTGTACGTTAGTTACTTCAGCAAAAGTCAAGCACGTAATCTTCTTCTGTAGCACAGCACTTCTGCATAACTGGACAGGAACACTGAATGACAGGAAAATCACAGACGCATCAACACATACGAAGTGCTGGATGAAGGAAAACACTTAGTCAATGGGAAGAAGACTCAACATAGCCAGTACCGTGCTCTTCAGAAGCAAAACCTTGTTTGGTTTAGTATCAGCCTCAACTCAAAGTGAAAGTGGGTTCAAAATTATCAGGTTTCTGTAGAAGTCTTCTGTTTGTAGGAACTACTAAACTACATAGGATTAGCGGCAGGTAAACAAAACAGGGAAATCGGCAGTGGGAGATA